GCTATGTGATATCTTGAGAGGGTGTAGGTCAGCAGTAGGCACTGCTGCCCTGCTTCAATAACATGCAGTATTTGTCTCTTTTCAGTCGTATGTATGTATGAAGAAACACGTTTGTATCTCTTACGAAAGCATTTGTTCCCAACATCAAGCTTAGATATATCGCATTCACATACAATTCATGCAATTATGGAGGGGTAGCTACGCTCCCTTTACCAAGTTCAGAGGACGGACCTCTCGTTGCCTTTCCACTTCTGAACAAAGCCGAGTATCTCCTGATGAACCTTCTTTTCGTGAGTCCAGCTGAGGAAGTGGACTCCTCCTTCGAAAGACACCAGCTTAGCATCAGCCGAATTTGTGAATAACTTGATTTCTTCCCGAGCCTGCGCTATGTTAAAAACAACATCACCAGTGCCCTACATGTTGAATCAGCCAAAAGCAAAAACATCAAAAAAAAAAATTATAAAAAAATTAAAAATTGGAGAGGGGTTCAATGTACCTGGAGCCATAGCACAGGACACTTCACATATGGCAGACGCTCGTATAGGCCATCTCTACTCGCAAGTACCACAGCAGCCATGCAAATTCTCTTCTTGCCTTCATCTCCATTGTAGTTATCTCGTATGGTCTTTGACCAGAAGTCTTTGGTGGTCTTGTCAACAGTTGCACCATAGCCAATTTCCATCAAAAAGTCATAGTAGCCGCTATCAGGCTCAAAGTCAGGTGCAGGAGCAAGATTGCCTCCAAGGGTGACGAGGCCAGAGCAAGCTCCAGGGCCATCCCAGGATCCATACTCGCGGCTTCTAAGAGATTCGGAGTCCATAGATGAACCGATCGGGATCACGCCCTTAACCTGACTACTTGTCAACAATGTATGTATTCACGATGTCTCTATATCATACCCTCGTAGGTGCTAAAAGCGCCGTTCTGACAGCAACCCAGCCGCCTTGCGATGTCCCAAGCACAAAGAATTTGTCAACGCCCAAAGCATCCAGTAGCTGAATAGTCATTATAGCTGAGTCCCAGTAGGTGAATTGTTCTGTCTTGGTCTGAGTGGCCCCATGGCCGAGTAGCTCGACTGCTATAAGATTGGCTGCTTGCGTTAAGGATTCATTTTTGAACTCTGGGATATAGTAGTCTGCAGTTGTCGTAAATGGGTTGAACAGGATGAGAGTGGGAAGGCTTTTGTCCAGGGATTCTCGTGACAGTCGATACCCAACATAAATCCCTCCTAAATGAGGCACTGAAAGTGTTTTTGTAAGTCCAGTCATTTTGACGTCTTTGTGAGCTGACACTACGCGCTGCCTAACTTGACAGGATAAGAGTCAGTACTGGTGGAGATAGCGTGTCTCCAGGATGATTATGATTGCAACGTTCTTGAAATACTTGGACCTCATGTGATCCCCGCTTCTATGATCTGGGTACGCATGGAGCGACTAGGTGATCGTCATCATTATCGATGGTGGCTTGAAACCTAAAAGTTTCGACGTACCCTAACTCCCCGATGTGTTGCCGACATCCCCGCCCCACGATACCCTTGCCGCGAACATTCTTGGTCTTTTGTAAATAAAATAGAATGAGCACTCCGAGATTAAACTGTTCTCTGTAGATGGTTGACTTGAGATCAAGTCAGTGCGTTATTGACTGAGATTGCCTTCAATTTTCGGAGCAAACCCTTCTAGAAATACAACACACAATGGTAAGTGTGCCTCTGCGTATGGCAATCTATAATATTAATACGACAAGGGGTCATTGGGCAACCGCGGTTTCCGTATCGGCATTGTAGGTGCAGGCATTGGCGGCTTGGCTGCGGCTATTGCGTTAAAGCGGTCTGGTGCCGAAGTCACAGTACTAGAGGCGGCAGAGGCACTTGGGGAGGTATGTAGTCACTGTTGCATGGATGAGAAAGCGATGAATGTCTAATTAGGTGGTTATAGATTGGTGCAGGTATTCAGATGACACCTAATGTCTCTGTACTTCTTCAAAGATGGGGAGTCGATAAGGAGATTGGCGAGAATCTCGTCCAATTTGAAGAGCTGAACATGCGCCGAAAAGATGGAACACGTGTAGGCTATACCAAGATCGCAACTCTCGAAGAGTCTCTAGGTAGACCGTGGTGGGTTGTTCACCGGGCGCATTTACACGAGGGGTTAGCTACAGTCGCAAGGCGGCTTGGGGCACAGATTCTAATTGACTCGGCGGTCACCCGTCTTGAGTATCAAGAATCGCAAGAGGTCACCGTTGAGACACGCAAAGGTGCCAAGCACGCGTTTGACTTCTTGATAGGTGCCGATGGCATCAACAGTGTTACTAGGAAGACTTTATTCCCTGACGTCGCACCGGAACCTCCAACTACAAACTGCGCATATCGCGCTCTGGTTCCCTATGAACAGATTCGAAAGGACCCTGTTGCAAAAGAACTCATTGAAAAGCTCACTATGGAAGTCTGGATGGCTGAGAATGCGTATATCATCACTTATCCAATTAGCGCTGGCAAGCTTTTCAATCTTGTCCTCTCACACCACCGCCCGCAGAAGTTACGAGCCACTGAACAAGACGTTCCAATCGAGGAGCTACACAACGAATACAAAGACTTTGATCCCCGCATCAAGAGAATTGTTGACATGATCGACAATACGGTATGTCATACCCGTCGAAGACGATTGATATTGTAGTCCTTTCTGCTGACAGAAGTCTTCAGTCTCGATGGCCTCTTATGGTGACTGGGCCAATGAAGTCATGGTCGTCTCCGCGTAAGAATGTGGTTCTCATGGGAGATGCTGCTCATTCCATGGTCAATCACATGGCGCAAGGAGCCGCCACCTCTATGGAAGACGGTGCTTTCCTTGGTAAATGCATTGCGCCCGTCGTTCAAGGAAGGATGCGACTTGACGAGGCCGTGAGGATATATGAAGAAGAGCGTATGCCGAAGGCATATGCGAAACAACAAGTCTCTTTTCTAAATGGTGCCATCTGGCATTTACCTGATGGTCCGGAGCAAGCCGCCCGTGATCAGGCAATGGCTTCTGAGCTGGAAGGCAAGTATTATGTTCGCAGCAGCAATTTGTACGGCGATCCGCAGACCGTACTAGATGTCTATGGTTATGATGCCGAAGGCCATGCAGAAACGGTGTTGGCCAAATACTTCAATGGAGGACGAGAGCCCTTCCATCCCGAAACGGGAATCACGAAGACGTTTCAAGATAAGTACGTTGACTGGTTTATGTCGAAACAGGGACAGGCGAAGCTATGAGGTTCTTGTATAGTAAAGACGATCTTATCCATTACCAATATTTGTACAATGACAATCTTGGATGGCAAGCCTTTCATCCTTCTAAATGTGACGCCATGCTCTCATCTCCTGCCCTAAAACTGTTTTGTTGCAATTGTAATGAACAATGTTGTGTAACAATCCTTGAACACATGTATAAGAACGCCATTGCATCTCTACAAATGGCTAGTGCATAGGAGGCGGTTCACAACTTTTGCCAGACTTTCTTCTGTTACAATCACAGGATAACTACCACTGCCCTTGTATTGAGGCCATGACTCATGGAAATGACTTGCCCGGTATATCACTGCAAATATCAGCGATCTAGACCAAGCCCCTAAGACAGTGGCTTGAGTAAGTGGGGCCCGCACCTCACCCGTCGACCGTCGGCGAGTCCTCGCCACGCCCGATCAACCCGCTCACCGAGATATCGTCCTGGCAAGTAATCAACCCAAGTCGACATTCAGAGCTTTCACTACCTGCGGGGCCCCGCGGGGTTTGTTCATGCGGAGAAATCATCCAGACTTATGCCAATAGGGTAACATCATTGCCTCTTGTCCCGGTAGTGAATCTTGGCCGACCTCGAGGCACGACCTTGGCAAAGCTGGTGCCAATCTACTGTTACTCGGGATTCCGGGTAACTCAACCACAGCCCTAACTTCTTTTATTATGGCGTAGAGGCATAAAGGAACGATTCCCCGATCGACCTAGACCGCGTCTGCTTCTTCTGATGATCTCATTAAAAACAGTATACTAAACGGGATATTTCATCACTGAATCTTTCCTAGCCAAACTTTTGCAGATAATCACAGACCTCGAACAATCCATCGGACGAGTTAGACGAAAGAAGCCTGAAAAGATGTCTATCGGAAAGCCTGAGACCGAAGTCGAAGAACGAGCATCAATGGCAGGCGAGGCTCCCTCGATTGATGAGCAAGCAGCTAAAAGACTGGTCCGCAAGATTGACAGGTTTACTGTTCCCATGGTCATGATAACGTACTTGTTGTGTTTCTTGGATCGTACCAATATCGGAAATGCGCGCCTCTTTGGAATGGAAAAGGACCTCAATCTACAAGGAAACCAGTATCAGATAGCGGTGTCACTGTTGTTCGTTACCTACGTCCTGGTCGAAGTCCCGAGCAATCTAGTCCTCAAGAAGTTCACACCCTCGAAATGGTTGGCTGTAATCACCGTTAGCTGGGGGATTGTGTCAACATTGACGGGAATCGTGCAAAGCTTCGGAGGCTTGATCGCCTGCCGTCTCTTGCTTGGACTCTTAGAAGGAGGCCTTTTTCCTGGCCTCACTGTTTACCTTACTCTCTTTTACACAAAAAAAGAGTTGGCGTTAAGAATTGGGTACCTTTTCGTCAGCTCCGCTCTAGCAGGTGCATGTGGGGGTCTTCTTGCGTATGGAATAAGTTACATGGACGGTGTTGCTGGGCTATCAGGTTGGAGATGGGTTTTCATCATCGAAGGTAAGACAATAGCTCTTTTTTGCTTTCTCTTTACGAGTGAAGGCTAATTTTTCACTCAAGGGATCCCGACCGTCTTATTTGGGGTGGCTATCTGGTTTCTTCTTGCCGACGAACCTGCTTCTGCATGGTATTTAGAAGAGGACGAGAGGCGACTGCTTGTCGCGAGACTCCAGGCTCAGACTGGCTTCCACGAGGACTTCGACAAAAAGGATGCTATCCTTGCAGCTAAAGACTGGAAGACCTGGCTCTTTGCAGCCGGACAATTTGGTGTCAATTCGATGCTCTACAGCTATTCTATCTTTCTGCCGTCAATTATCAAAGGTAATATTCCAGCGACTTGATCTATTCATGGCAGTCTCTAAAAAAATAATAGGACTCGGAAAGTGGACATCACCACAAGCACAGGCCTTGACAGTGCCGTGTTATATATTAGGAGCAATAAGCTATCTTCTAGTGGCACGACTATCAGACACTCATCAACAAAGAGGCCTTTATCAAGTTATTGCCGCCTCCGTTTGCATCATAGGCTACGGAATCTCTATATCAGAAACAAGCCCGGCGGTCCATTATTTTGCGACCTATCTAATAGCCGTCGGGTTGTTTGTAGCCGTAGGGATACCTCTGGCATGGTTACCTTCCAATAATCCACGATATGGCAAACGAACTACTGCATCCGCAATCCAGATAACCGTGTGCAATTGCTCCGGTATCGTGTCACCATTTGTAGGACACTCTTCACCACTTAAAGGTATTTTGAGTATGAACGCTAACGGGCTCTACTTAGCTCTATCCAACATCAGATGCCCCGCGATACATAATGGGCTACTCCGTGTCTATTGCCTTGCTCGGCTATGGCATTGTCATATATAGTTTCATGTCAATCTATCTCAATCATGTCAACAGACGACGTAGAGCGGGCAAAGAGGATTACAAGATCACTGGAATGACTGATGCTGAGATTGATGCGCTAGGAGACGAAAGCCCAAGATTTATTTACACTATTTGAGAAGCAGGAGTGTCATAATTTTAACTACTTTGGGTCAGCAGTGTTAGCCGAGGAGTAGTGATATATACATCTGCTTTTGAGGCCCAATACCATACCTCTTTCGTTGACGTGAAGACTTTGCCAACGTAGTTGCTTGAAGATCGTGGCAGACAGCGATGCCTCACCAGCCAATATACAGATAGATGCGCCATTTGCTGTCGACTTGATCTTATACAAGCCAGCATGCGGCCACTCGTCGGCTGCCTCCAAACCTCAGATCCAACTTAGACGAGTGGATTAGGTAACTTGGCGACTGTGCCTCGGACTCGGTGACGTGCCAAATGCAATAGTTTGGCCCTTGTAAGTGGTGCCAAGACTGTCAGCCGCAACTGCAACCGAAGCGTCCGCCCCGACTATTGAAAACGTGGAAGCGTTAGAGTTACACAGCCCAAATGTTAGTCCAGCCTCTTTCAGCCGCAGAAAAGCTCTGCAAATTTCAGGGGTTTGTACAGATACTCGAACTATCCTACTTTAATGACCTGAATGCTGGGGTAGCTTGACTGCTTCGAGACTAGGAACTGTCAAATCGTTCTGGCTTGGTAGTGCATATTAATCTAAGCTCAGATGGGATCAAGACCAAGCTGAACTCGCAATGAACTGGACGTGAACTACGCTTAGGCGTTGAGCGTCAACGAAACTGCCTGATCTAACGTCTTGTCCTACACTGGGCGCTCCGGAAGCCACAGAGTCATTAATTAGGACTAGACAGCAATATACTAAAGGCTCTTGCGACCACTAGCAACGCCTACGATAGACCAGCTGATCGCTAAGCACTTCATAAGGCTTTCTTTTGTAACACACCATGCTTTTGTGTGAATCCTATATGGCTCTACCAAGAGATGCTCGGTCTCCTCGCTGAATGACAGGTCCTGGTATAAGAGGAGTCCAGTTTCTCATTCAATGAGAACGGAACTAGAATTATTATCTACTCTAGCAGAGGAAGTGGGATCGCTACTTATGGTCATTCCAAAAGCCTTCATCATGCGCTTTCACGTCCTCAACACGTATGCATATCTGTTAGCCGGATTACTGTCTTCGACAGTGGCAGCTGCTGGCTGTAGTAACGACAACTGTGCTAGAGCAGTGACAGGATCTCGTCGTGGAGAGACCTTTGTGACAAGTGCACAGGCTGATTGCACGAGTTTCATGGTTCAGACAATTACTGCTCCAGGAGTGTAAGCACAATACCTCATTGTGACTCGAGTCAAAGAAACACCGTGCTGAGGCTGACTGGAATTAGCTCCATTACTTCGACCGTCACCGTCGCTGCAGGCGAGGATCTGCCGTCCGGAAGCCCAGCCAAGAGAGCAGCGTCGATTCCCTGGTATGCATCCGCTTGCTCCGATGCTAGTCGATACTCCAGTGCTTGCTCGTGCTGGGGTATCACAGGACAGACTGTCACTGTGACTCCAGTAATAACCCCTCTCTTAACATACTGAAGTCTTCAGATAGCTAATTGAATATGACATAGACTGAAACTGTCGTGTCGACCGTAACCGCCACCCTGCCGCCGGGTACTACATATACTCCTAATGTTCCCACCTCATACGAGAAATGTGTCTACGATCCAGAGTCTCAAGATGCATTTGAGCTATTGGATCCCAATACTGGTCTTCCAATCATCAAGAATGGAAGTCTTGCGATGGTCGTTCAAGAGGTATCTGATCCATGGGTTCCCGTACGATACAATCTTGTCAAGCCTGCTGGAGCAACAGCAAGGTAAGTGCCAGTCAAGGTCTACCTTGAGGCAGGATGCAACTAATATGCCCAGTGTCTATGATCTCACGTTGCAAGAGGGCGATGTAACCTACTATCTTGCAATCTATGAGTCCGGCAAGGTAGGATTCACAACTACAAGGCAAGTCTCAAAGCAAAGTGTTAAATCAAAATACCTAGTCTAATAGTACGCAGTTCCAATGGCCAAACATATGCCGATAGCGATGAAGGCAAATTTGTTACTTCTGTCTTTTCCTTCACCTGCAAGGGTCGGTTGCAAGCGGGCATCGTGAACGGGCTGGAATTCCACTTCACCGTCACTGATGACCAGAGAATTGTCGCGAGTACCGCAGCTCCTGCCTCCTCAAAGCGTGACATACCAGTCCCGGAGGGCTTCTATGTAATTCCGGAAAACATTTCTCAACCGCCACCCGGTGAGCGCTGCCCAGCCGGACAGACTGCCGTGTCGAACGGTCTCACCCCTACTGCCAATGGTTGCGGAGCCAAGGACGGGATCAAGGTCCCAGACTTCACCTTTGGCACCTGCTGCGACGGACATGATATATGCTACGGAACCTGCTCCGAGGACTTCACGACATGCAACAACGACTTTTACGGCTGCATGCTTCAGGAGTGTCTTCCCTTCATCGTCAGCCCGCTGCTCTATCTCGGGTGCAACGGCGTAGCCACCACCTATTATCTTGCAGTGCGCTTCTTCGGAGACGACGCCTATGCGGAAGCAACGAAGGAGCTGTGTGACTGCAAGTGTGACGATGCCTCTCTGACCGCGTGTGGTGACAAATGTGTGGACACGAAGACCGATGTCGATAATTGCGGATCATGCTATTTCCATGTAAGCTCACATCGGTTCACCATGACCCGAAGACCATATCACTAACATGCAACCTTTCGCACAGTGCCCATCGGGATCATGCAAGAACGGGGCGTGCGCCTTTAATTCATGTGCCGGCAGTGTATGCGGCTCATTCGGGTCGTGCGGTCCAGGAGGGTCCTGTGTCTGTGCCTCTATTGCCGGCGGCGATGGCTTCTGCGTCAACGGCGACACGCCTTGTGACGGGCTCGCAGACTGCGGCACTAGCACAGACTGCCCCCTGGGAAGTGTTTGCGTGGTGGGCAGCTGCTGTGGGAGGAATGTCTGCATTACAACGGACTACTGCGGTGGCTACAACACCAATGTTAAGCGTGCTTGGGTTAATGCAACCATTGCTGAGCCCGGCAACTGGGTCCAGAGATTCTAAGCAAGAGTCGTGCAGCTACGTGTATGACAGGGCTGCATTTAGAGAAGCCGCCACATGGCCCATTAAGCAAATACATTCATCTCACATAAAGAGGAGGCAGTAAGCAGCGAGAAAATGCTTCTCATTCTTCGTCGATCGCGGAAGCGCATCGGATCTCATTCTTGCCCCTTATTCACGTCGCAGCCCGAGTCAGCCATGATCTGATCCAAGCAACCCCTTCCTTACCCTGACCGACTGCACAAGTCCGGAGCAGGAGCGGCGCAGAACGATCGTAATGAAAGCGATAACACAATGTCCCCTTGTAAGTAAACACACATACAATTCAATGAGTAGTTTCTTTTCCGTTGGTTTTGCCCTGAGCCGCCATCCGCAGAAAATCGTACACATACAGTTTAGAGTAGGGAAAAAAGATCCAGTGTGTTGGATAATCTCCGTACGGAACACCTCGAGAATCTAGTCTTGAGCTCCGAGAAATAATAGCCATTCGCGGCAAGCCAGATCTCACTTTTTGAATCTCGACTTGTTCCTAGAAGGGTTGCCAGAACTACCCTCCTAATGATAGTTGCCACCCCATCCACGAGGCTGGTTGCCACCATAGTAGCTACCACCGCCGAAGCCTTGGCCGCCGCCGCCATATCCGCCATAAGGCTGGTTCTGGTGACCCTGGCCAGCGCCTCCGCCCATTCCATATCCGCCTGAGCCGGACTGATTACCGTGCAGACCACCCTGCAAATGGCTTGGGTAGCCGCCATATCCTCCCATGCCGCCCTGCTGACTTGACTGCGGAGGTGGAAGTCCGGACTGAGATGGGTTGTTGTTGGTTGCAGACCCGGGACGAGCACCGCCTAGGGAAGGGCTGGGCCCACCTGCGGTCTTAGACTCGCCAAAGGGCTTCAGGTCATCATTGGCGGATGGAGCACCAGCACCTGGTTGGGAGCCGGCTGCATTGAACGGTTGTCCGCTCTGTGATCCATAAGATGAGGCGCCGCGGCCGAAGGTGTCGTTGATGCCACCGAATCCGCTGCCACCAAGACCAGGTTGACTGCCGGACTGAGCAGAGCCTGCACGACCATAATCTCCAAGGCCCGATCCGAGGCCACTGTCTGCACGGTGAAGCGATGACTGGCCATAGCCGGTGGCGGGCGAAGAGCTGTGGTCATATGGACCCTGCGGTGACATTCCATATTGCTGAGGTTGTCCATACACACCTCCCTTGCCATAAGGACCACCAAAACCTCCCTGCCCGTATCCACCATACTGCTGGTTCATATAAGCAGCATAATACGGGCTAGAGTAGTAGGGATGAGTGTATGGATATTGGCCACCATGTTGCTGCTGTCCTCCGTGCGACTGTGACTGGCTATTCTGACCAGTCTGCTGACCGGCGGCGGATGGATTAGGTGTAGTGTTGCCGCTGGTCTGGAGATCCGTAGTAGATCCAGCACCAAATCGCGACTGGTTAGCACTCTGCGGATACTGGCTGGAAATGTCATTCTGCGGTCCCCCGTATCCGCTGAAAGATCGCTGTTGAGAGGGTAGACCGCCTTCCTGCTGACCTTGACCGGATTGCTGCTGGCCGTACTGCTGATTGTAGTAGTTGAACTGGCCACGGCTTTGTGGGTCAGCTGTGTAGTAAGAGGAATATTCGGTTGGAGCGGAGCTGAAAGCGCCGCCCGCCTGTTGGCCCTGAGGCTGAGATTGCTGTTGGCTAGGGAAGCCATCATACTGCGAAGGGGCAGAAGGCGGGTTCGCCTGTTGGTTGTATGTGTCGAAGGGCTTCTGAGAGAAGGACGACGGCTCCTGAGCAGTGCTCTGGCCGAAACGACCAAACTGCTGGGAGGACGGTTGGGTAGGGGGCTGTGGGGCTGGTGCAGGTATGCGTGTCAGTACTCTGTTGCCGATGCGAGTGATAGAGGTGTCAAGAAAAAATAAATCGGGAGATGTACCTTGAGCAGAGGTGGGTTGCTGTGCCGCCGGTGCAGTAGGGGCAGCTGAAGGGTTGTCAGTCGGGAAACCGTACTTGTTGTAGAGGAAATGAGGGATGACAATACCAGTTGGTCCTGCGGCTGGAGGAAGGGATGTAGATGGCTTGGGGGTGGAGAAAGCCTCGGGGACAGCAGCGGGCTGCGGAACGGGGGGTAGGGAGGTACGGGGATGAGCGACAGGGGAATCGACGGGAGGCTGAGCTCGTGTCTCGGGCTCCTCGCGATCTCCATCAATATCGTCGTCGAGGCCGTTAAGGCTGAATGCGCCGAACTGAACAGCTGCGCGGTCCACCTCTCTGTTCCCAGGCATGCGCACAGGCTCCTCCTGGTCAAGAATTCGTCGCTGATAGCTGGGAGTGCGCGAAGGACCACGCTCAGTCGCCTTGAGGGCAGTCGCAGCAAATCCGCTTGTCGGGGCCTTAGCCTGTTGGTGATGCTGCTGGGAAGCAGAGAGGGGAGTGGCAGTCGCGCTGACAGCAGCGGCTCGAGGGTCCCAAGAATCCGCGGCTTCGCTTCTAGCTGTCTCGGTATCCGGGGGATTGGATTCGTCCACGACTTGCTCGAGATTGGTCTCGGTCAATTGATCCTTTGAAGGCATCAAAGCAATTTCGGGGACAACAACGGCAGGAAGCTCGGCCGGGCTTGGCTTCTCTGGCTCGGCGGACAACTCTACTGGAGCATCGTGCTGAGGCTCAGGCTCAGTAGCTGCAAGTTCGGCAGGCGGCAAGGGTTCGATGGGAGGCTCAGGCTTCGGAGCAGGAGCCTCTTTGGGCTTGGGAGCTGGCTTAGGTACGGTGGACGCTCTGAGCATGCTTGCCCACGTCTTCTGGGTGCCTTCGGGAATGACGCTCGGTTTCTGTGCTGTGGTAGTAGCAGCTGGTGCGGCAGCGGCGGCGGCAGCTGCCTCAGTGCCGGTAGTATCCCATGCAGTATCTTCAGAGGTCTTCGTGGTATCCCAGGCATCTTCGGTAGGAACGGAGAGCTGCTGCGCATCCTTGGGTTTGTGTCCATTCGTGGTAGCAGCCGAGGACCTGCCCCGAGCAGCACGGCCGCCTCGTTCAGTGGCTCTACCGCGGCCACGGCCACCCTCCGAACGACCGCCTCGAGTGTGTCTAGTATTCGCAGTGGACGAAGCATCAGTGCCAGTAGTAGTGGTGAATGTATCCTTTGCCTTAGACTTCGAGCGGTCCTTCTTTTGCTTGGAGACTTCGCCCCACTGTGAGATGGTGCCTGGAGCAGAAGAGCTAGGTTAGCAAAAAAGGGACTCGTCATATCAATTGAAGGCAACTAAAGCTCGAGCAATTGAGTTGGGGGGAATGAAAACTGTTGTGCGAAATGGTGGAAGACAAGGCTGAGAAGGCTGAGGGGAGCTTACCTTCAGCAATGCGCGTGACTGTCAGATTCTCGTCGCCATCGGTCTCTCGAAGAGCAAAGAGGATGTCGACGTCAGACCAATCGGGGAACATCTCCTTGATGAGACCGGTCTTTGAGCCGTAGAGCTTCTTCAGATCGCCAATCTCGCCCTCATCCTCGAGCGTGGGAAGAGAGTCGGGTTCGTGCTTGGAGTCGCCATTCGTAGTGGTTCTAGAGGCACCGCGCGCACCACCGCGGCTGGAGAAACCGCCGCGACCGCCCCGGCCGACACCGCGGCCGCGCGTCGCAGCTGGTCTGGATGTGACCTCAGACATTGCTGAGATGAATGTGTTGTGAGGTGGAGGTGGAGGTGGAGGTTACAGAGCTGAATTGTGCGCTCGTGCGTGTGGTCTCGTCTGCCAGGATCTCGATTCAGCGGGCCAACCACCAGCAGTAAGGCGGAGGTGAAGACGAGATGGGATGGGGAGGATGGCGGGATCGGAGATCACCTGCAAGAGTGATCCGAAAGCCGAAGGGGGAGATGGCCGTTTTCCCGAATCGCTTGGTGTTTGGTGGTTTGAATTGCAGAGGATGTCAGGTCTGGAAAAGGGAAGGAGAGATGAAGGAGTGGTGGTGTTGTTGCCAGAAGGGAGAGTTTTCGGCCGGGGACGATTTTGGGGGCGCCAAGCAGCGCAGCGCAGACCAGAGCAGAGGGTGAGGCGCAGGGTCAGCCACCCACCCTAACAGCCAGGTGACCTCCACGGGTGACTTTTGTATGCAGCTTGCCCGTCCAGTTGCTAGTGCCCACAGCACCAGGGCCACAGGGCAACCCAAGGTGCCCCCCTACGACAAGGTAGCAGCCACACCTGTGGGCATCCGGGTGGAGCCAGCTGCTGCTAGACTGCCTTCTGGATGGTGCTAAATTCCCAGGAAGGTTTTTGCTGGGTTGCTAGGGCGCTCGCTGCATTCAGGCTTGCCAGCTGAGCTTGCAGTGGGTAAAGGTAAAATGCATCGATTGCTTGTTGTGTGAAGGAGTACCAGAGAACAAGACCGCTCGAGATATACCCTTCGAAACACACAAACACACACACATACTACGGACATAACCCCAGCTCTGCCAACTATGGTCCTGGCGGCTTCGCTTATTGAGACGATAAGTTGCTTCTTATAATTCAGAAGGGGGAAAAGCAAACATCAATATGACTGAGAAGCTAAAAGCTGCTGGAAAACCTTAGTAATTTCGACCTACATAGGTAGAATGAAAACCCTTACAAGCCTCGGAAGCTCTTCAGGATTAGGTACTAAGATTGCTAGGTAGTTAGGTAGAGACGGCAAATACTACAAAGACCAGTCAGTCATACAATGGAGCCATGGAAGGAAAGCACGATGGAGCAAGCGGCGGGAAGCAGCAGCAGCATCAAAGAGCAAAAGTGAAGCCTGAGGAGCAAGAACCTCTTTTCCCAGGCAAGCAATTGGCAAGCTACGTCAGCTCAGGGCAGGCACCTCATCGCCCCAGCTCTCGCTACCGTAAACGGCTTAGCGTTGAATGCATCTTTCCAAAAAGATTGCCAGAGACTAAACCTGAGTCACGTGAGTATGGCGCCAGCTCCCACTCGAAGGTGGAGATGCATCACGAAGCATCAGATGATGACCAACGCCCTGTCTTATCCACCACAAGCAATCAGCAAGCTACGCCTGCCTGGAGGTAGCAGTGCTTGCATACTTGCTTCACAGCCTCAAAACCTCGCATCTTTCATCCAATCACTTCTGGTTTCTTGATGGTGTCACAACATCATGTTTAGTACCAAAGCATTGAGCTCCCTCAAGGGGATGCTCCCACCAATTCATCAACCACTTCCTCTCAATCAACGCGAGGCTCAGCAGCTTCTCAATGCCCTCACTTCCTCATTCCGCAAGAACCTTGACCGAGAGCATGGCTGGCTACCTGATGACGGACTGAGCGGTGCCGTCAGCTCCGTCTTGAGCAATGCCCCAACCGCCTCCTCCAACGATGCCCATCGACGGCCTACAGATCGCCACGTTCGGGCCATCTTGTCTAACCCTCTATTCAGCTATGACCGAACCACACAACAAGCCCCCGGCCGGATAAGTAACGAGAGAGATCCAATGGACGTGTTTGACGAAGCCGTGGCCAAGGGATTGATGACCCCTCGAAGGGCAGCAGGTTGTCTGCAGGCCAAGAAGCGGGAGATCATCCAATCCTCCACCCTATCGATAACAGAAGCTATGGCTGCGTCCGGTGCTGCACTACGGGTTGTTCAGTGGCTACGAGCCTCGGGTCTCGAGCGAGATTTGTCTTTTGTCGAGAACGCCGGTCTAACAAGCACACTCCTCAAGTTTATGGTGGCCGAGGGCTTGGATGAGGTAGCCTGGGGGTGGCTAGACAGACTCATGCAAGGTGGAGGCCCGCAGGTCCATCTCAAGCAGCACGGAAGTCATACCGCTGCCTCTTTCGTTCTCGACAGTCTTGTCGGGGCTAAGATCATGGATGCTGGGAATTTGAATGACGCCTATGCGTCTATTCTTCGGGGCGAAGACATGTTTAAATCCACACCTGCATTTGGGGCAAATTTCCTGCAGGCATGGCGTCACTTGTCATGGTTGTCAACCGTCCAAGCATGGAAGCGATCCAGTCCATCTGCTCCGTTATTCGATGCCTTTGTAGCCATCGGCCAGCACCTCCAACGTCCCCTGCAAATCGACCGGGCACATCTGGATCTACATCACCCCACGAACCCAAGCCACACGCAGGCAGTTAAGTTTCTACAAAATGAGAATCTCTGGAAGAAGATATCATCCAAGGCGGAGGCATCTCAATCGTCCTCCACGCTAGATCCGCCGAGGAGTAGGCCCTCAACATTTGCGTTAAGACTCACATCGATGGGCCTCGATACGGTTCAGCATTTAACTCAGAAAGGTCAAGCTGAGGAGGCGCAGTGGATACTCGATGTTTTAAGGACCAACCTAGGAGGGTATTTCGGCCGTGACTCACCGGAATTCAACTCAGTCTTTGCAGTAGGTTGAAAGTGCATGGCATTCGAGCCTAGTACAGTCCAACCCATCGACACTTAGCAAGATGCCTTCTACATATCATAGCATAGTTGACAGAAGTTGATGGCGCCGCGGAGACGGCGCTCGGGGGAATCTGCAGATTCATGCAGTGAACACTATGTGCGGTGTCAACCTATTTGCAGACTTACGGTCGAGATCGTCGCAAAACAATAAGCGAGATCATCGTAGCCTCCGAGGCAATTGTCTATCATAGCTAGATATAATTGTAGCATGCTGGATCTATTAGCTGTGAAATAGTCACTCAGTATTGAATATAAATGATATGACACTCAATCGTTCACGCCTTTCAGATTATGAACTTATTGAGGATAATTGTACACTAATCAAGTATTCAATTCATATACATATGAAGCGCATCCAATATCTTCACTGGTCGTTTACAAAAATGACAGGGTATCCATCGAAAGCATGCTAAAGCTCAAAACTCTCCCTCCAGCAGCAGGCCGGGAGACATCAAATCGTAACGCATAAGCCCGAAACCCCGTACACCCCATCCAAGGATGTTGCCATTATCCTCTAACAATTACATTTATTTTCCTTGCCGGAGATCGCTCTCAGTTTTGCTCATGCTCCGCATGCTCTCCGTGCTCCCCGTCTTCGAGGCCATTCACAACCCTCAGCGCCCTCCGCGGGCCCATCACCACGCTGAAGAAGCTCAGCTCCTGGCCATCGAGCAGGCCCTCCGTCGAGCTCGTGCTGCCTCCACTGGGACTATAGCTCCGCCTCGGCCGCGTGCGCCCGCCGGCCGCCGCCGCCGCACCAGCGAAGCCGTACGTGCCTCTGCGATCGTCGCTGCTGCGGTACGGGCTCGGCCGCGTCCCGGAGCTGCTGGCCTCCGTGCCGGGCGTCGGCTCGTCACTGCTCCACGGCTTGAGGTGGTCGAGCTGCTCGCGGCCCACCCACGTGAACGAGTCGGCCGTGCTCGAGCTGTCGTTGTGGCTGTGCCCGAACCAGCCGCGCTTCTCGTCGCCGTAGAGCGGCTGCTTGGCCGCGGCGCCGCGCTTCTCGCCGTTGCGCGACTCCTTGGAGCCCTTGCGCCCGAACAGCGCGCCAAGCGGGCCGAACGAGCCGTGCGATGCGCCCGCTGTGCTGTACCGGTTCGCGACGGCCAGATGTGTCTTGTACGCGCGCACCTGGCGTCGGTAGAGCCAGGCGCAGTAGCCTAGATAGCCGGCGAGCACACCGGCGAGAGAAGCGATCACGGCGGCGGCTATCAGTCCAGCACTAGGCTCGTCGGAGCCGGACGTCGTATCTTCGGTGCCCCCTCCGCCTCCGTCTCCACTTCCTCCACCACCACCACCACCACTCCCAACATTGTTGGTCGCTCCCGGAGCTGTGACAGTTGCCGTAGCACCAGACGCAGTGATCGTGAACACGGGCGGCTTGCCCGTTGCGAAAGGACCGCCGGTCGGAGACTGTGATGGCGCAGTTACTGTTGCGCTTCCACTCGGTCCGCCGCCTATCACGGAGACGACCTCCTCCGGGACAGTATATCCATAGCTGGCTCCTAGAACGGAATTTTCAGGTGAGTAGTCGGCTTTGGGTGCCAAGGCTTTAAAAGAGCTGGTCCACTCGAGACTGGATGCGTTGAACACATAAATACCTGGACTGTCGCAGGGAATTTCAGTGCCAACATAGCCTCCAACAACCACCATCTGGCCGTCACGAAGATTGCACGTGTGCCCGGCGCGAGCAGCTGGCTTGTTGTCGGAATTTTGCTGTATAGGGCCAACCCATGTAAACGCCGGAATAGAGAGGATATACATGTCATCATATTGAGTTTGCTCTTTCTGGGCAGATTGTTGGTCAGAGCTCAATGGTTCTGGGTTGGAAGACTTACATATGGTTGTAAATTCTGACCACCAAACAGATATATTTGGAAGCTCGATGCATCAGGGGCGGAGGCAACCACGGCGCAGGGATTGACTCGCTTTCCTGGAGCGGTGCCGGTCGTCTTCTGGTGGTACCACACCGAGCTTGCAATGTCATAGACATCAAGAGTCGACATATCGTCCACAAAATTGTTCGGCTCAGAGCCGCCGCCAAAACCAATTAACACGCCTGATTTTCCCCATCCCGGAACGAATACCAGCACACCATCGGCTCGCTCGCTGAAGACGGTCTCGGTCTGGAGGCCACCTTGTGTAATGTTCCTGTAGACGCCACTCTCGGGTGCGCCGCTTCCCGAAGCAAGAGAGTACACTCCGTCGTTGGTATAACCCGGATGAGTGAATTCGAGCAAGCTCTTGAGGTAGACTCTTGCAATCTGATTGCTCCAGCCTTGTGTTGTCGAAAGATCCAGGTGTCCGCCGAAATACCAGCTTTGCCCAAGCTCCGGTACGGAGAGACCGGCGCCCTCGGCAGCTCTTTGCACGGGCTGGCTACCTCCGTCGGAAGCATTTCCAGCAGACGTCTGCGGGTTGGTGAATTCGGTCCAATTGCCAGAGCTGATCGAATACCGCCAAGTTGAGGAGGGGCCTGGCTCGGTGAATGGATTGTCGGCGTACTCGCCGCCATAGAGGAACAAGTTGTTGTAGTCGTTCCATAGATAACCGAGCGAGACAGCAGGTGGACCATCTGGCCTGGGTAAGCCTTTCAGCGCAGGTGAACTTGTGCCCCAGTTCTTCGTGAGGTCTAGTGTCAAGAAGTCATTGTCTACTAGAAGTTAGTTGACAGTTTCATGAAAATGTTAGGACACATACTCCATGTATTTGTTGTTTGGTCGCTAGATGTCTTTGCTTGACCACCATACATGTAAAGGGTTCCATTAAGTAAGGCAGCTGTAAGTGATATTAATAAGATGCTCGTTTCCCATCAAGCCACATCGGAACGACAAGAACTTACTTTGATGAGCCCATCTTGTGCAAACATCTGTCGGGCTGTTGTCTCGCTTTCTTATGACACCTGCGTCTGCGCCAATCTTTTCCCTGCCGTTGATCCAGCTGAACCCGGGTAGCACGACAGCGATGAGCAGGGCGAGCATCGTGAACCGCTGTATGCTCGAGACCGTCGCGGGAGGTGCGCTAGAAACACTTCTTACTTTTGGCCTCCTTGCCGTCGCTAGCTTGACATACCACGGCTGCTTGCCTGATGTCGCCGACGTAGGCGACTGAGGCGAGCCCTTCTCGTCTTGTGGTGAAGAGTCACCGCCGGTCCTTTCTGCAGCAGTCGGCTCTCTCCTGTGGGCGCTCGTGTCGATTGGAGCTAGTCCAGTGAGTTCCCCGAACTCCCTCTCGGAGTGCCGCTTCTCGTGATATGCGGTGTCACCCTCGATGGGGTTCTCGCCGAGCCCGACCTCCTTGAAGACAGACTTCCGATCTTTTCTGATATTATTGATCATGGGCAACGGAGGTATTCGGCCGCACCCCTCACGCAGTCGGTCTTGGGTGTTCTGGTGGTTAAACTTAGGGCGAATCGGGGGAGTAAAGCTCTGTGTATCGGATTCAGAGGAACGATACGGGAGCTTGACAAACGCAGACGGCATGACGGGCAGAGGTAGATAAGGTACAGGCAACTGTGTGCAGCGATCACATAGGCTCAGGCAATATCGCCACCATGCAAGCTACAGGCTGGTGGTGGTGGTGGTGGTGTGTGCGAGTGTCGCATCTGGCAAGCCGGGCCAAACGCGGGAAGGCAAAGAGATGAGGTCACTCGATGGAGACGTTTTTAATTATAACAACCTGGCTGAGGCTATGAAATGCAGAAAATTGGAAACAGAAAATAGGAGGAGAGAAAGATGAGAACTTGTCGGGAGATTCAAAGAGAGGAAAAGATGGAACGACAACCGGATCTTGGAACCATACTTCAGCAAACTACTTTCTCCGCGCATCGTCTGTCTCTCTCGCCTGTGAGGAAACGGTGAGACTAGCAGCATACTGTACTATAGAATCATTACCTAGCAAATCACTCCCTAAGAAGGAAAAGCAGCGGGAGGAGGTGTGCTGGCAGAATCGGCCAGGCCAAGATTCACCAAGGCGCAATGCCATCGACCCCAAGTCGGCAATAGACCCAGGAAATCGAGCCTCTTCTCGCCTGTGACTGCGGGGAGAGGGAACAAGAAGCTTCTGGACCCCTGGACCCGCTACATCATCGACGGAGACGGCGCAGGGATGGAGGTGTGCATGATGTCGATGCTGGATCCCTGGGGTAGCAGTGCTGGGAAGCCAGCAAATGAAGGGGTGTCGGGGCTAATGGATCAAGGCAAATCTCGATGCTTGCCAGACGAGACCAGGTGGTAGGCCCGTAGGCTCAACTGTACCCATTGTGTTGCGACGGTTCCCAATGCAGGCGCCAATCCGCCGTTTCGCGAAGACCAAATGGTCATAGTTACTATGCAGTAGGCTGCCGGTGGTCTTACATGCGGTCTTCCTGGTTCTGAATTGGATTGACCACCTGAATTGACTGGCGGGTAGGATGGGAAAAACGGACAAACTGCAGGAAACTTGGCAGAACGCGTCTGGGCGCGATCTGTCAGTGGATTTGCCTGTTCAATCCAGGTACCGTCAGCGGGGGCCGGGGGTGGGATTGGCTGCTTGCTGTCGATGACCTCACATAATTCTCGGCTGGTCCTGCTCCCACAAATCACCGTCGCCCATTGACATTGTAATGCCATCATTATTGCTGAGGATCACTGCAGGCGGCACCTGGAGGTCTCTTCAAGCACTATGCTGTACCGTACTACACCGTCATTCATTGTGTGTCTGCATGCTACTTCATCGACGAAAATTAACGTTATATCTTAGTCACACTCAATCGCACATAAACGTCGGGCCGACGCAGCAACAGGTCCAAACCGCAGTACCTGTAGGTCACCCAGTCGGAGGATTTTCTTCTTTGCTGCACCGCCACGCCAAAAAGGATGTGGCTGATCCGGCGTGGTAGGGACTCGGCCCCTTTTCACTTTTGCTGTCAAAAGAGGCATTGCAGTAATTTGATAAAAGTCATGTACAGCTCATTCAATAGAAAGTCTAACGTTTGTATGTATCATCTATCATAATCGTGACACGGACCTGCGACACTTTCTTCATGTCCTCAGATCATTGATACTTCTTGTCTTTGGCAGCCACGCTGCCCTCCACCAGGCCGATATGGCCCAGCCATTGGCCTGGCTTCGTGTCTCCCACCAGGCCAGGTAGCCTGTTCAGCTCAAAGCACTCCTCTCGTTCGCCAGTGTTAGTATACATTGCCATCCGCTCCTTGACATCGTCTGGCAGGTCCGCTCCTAGTCGGAACAGACTATATCCGTCCAGGGTCGCACTCCACCGCCTCCTGAAGCCGTATATGATCCCCAAGATTGGGCCCACAAACGCCCACGCAAAGAAGAGTGAAGCCGGGACAGACGCTGGGATAGTGCCCAGTTTAAGTACAGTACCAGCCACATACTCGGTCACATTCGGATTGTTGAAGATGACATGGCTTCCATCAAGCGCCGTGAAGCCCTGGCCGCCGTTATACATGAGCTGTGTCGCGTATCCGGCGTGCGCTCCCAGCAGACTTCGTCTCAATTGCTCTGCTTGCAGGTAGCTAAGCTGCAGCGGTGTCCCTGTGCCTGCGTCTATGCTTGTCGGGTCATCTGTGAAGGCGGCGTAGAATGTCGGAGGCGCCGCAGCCGAAGTGAAGAACTTTGACAACCATTCCTCCGTGCCGGTCCCAGGCGTGACGATAGATGCAATGGCCTCGGCACCGAAGCGGTTCGCGCATCTATTGATTTGTACGTTGATCGGCGTGTCGGTGCGCACAAAATTGGAGTATGTTGAATGGGCACCGTCGATATCGGCTGTCCCGACACTGCTACTTGACGTGCATCGTGCACCAACTGCAGTCATTGGTTGCCCACTGAATCTGGTATCGTTCTTTGCGATAATATAATTGAAGTCGCGGTAGTCATATGCTCCATACAGATCTGTAATATTGTGATCAACGGTGAAGTTATAATCTGGCGCCTTTTCAGAGTAGGACGAATTGAACAAAATCTGCCACAGAAGCACTTCAAACACGGTCTGTTGGTCGACGCCGGGATAGTCGCCCGTTACATTGTCTGCTTGGTTGAAGTAGCAGCTTTGCGTCTTGGTGAACTGGGCATTCGAATCCTCTTCCTGCAAGCGTTCTAACGCCGAGGCATTTGGCCATTTCTGGTATCCGACTTCTATAACTGCGTGCATGTTGCTCACCCAAGAAGCTCGCAGAGGATCGGTCTCATTCGCGATCATGATGAAGCTGTCGTTTTGCGCTTGGTAACCGGATACACTCGTGGACCCTCTCAGAAGGGTGTCTTGAGCTTTGGTAGCATTGCGGTAGTTGAGAACAGTCAGTTGCGATCCTCTTTCAATGATACTGCAGTTGTACTCGAGCAGCACTCCCCAACTGTTTCCTTCGATAGGATTCTCAGCTTGTGCGCTGAGAAATATTCTGCTCACGCCGTCATCTTTGGGTAGAACAACAGGCAACTTCTGTAAGAAGGTATGCCGCGACTGATCGACACCCTCTGGCGTATATACAATTCCTTGTCCTGGGACACGCGCGTCCAAGGCATATTGCCACGTTAATGAGGCGCCATTCAGGACATCTCCGCCAGCCCGCTCGTTAAAGTTCGAATAGGAGAATCCCGTCATGGTAGGCCCTTCATCGGTCGGTGTACCGCGGATGAAACCTGAAGTAGTCTCGAACGCGAGACCAGACAGCGGCCAGGCAATGAACACAAGAATGCTCGGTATGGCTAGAATAAACCACAGCCGGCTCGGCAGCTTTGTGTCACCACCTTTGTGGTGGAAACGCACAAGTCTCTTTATCGTTTTCATCCAGCCTCCAGGACCGCTCCATGTGGCGTCGGCATGCATCATGAGCATCTAGGAGTTTCTCACGTTAACAGGGTATCTTCCCAGGTTCTTTCAAATGATATTACCATCGCGTCATGAACTTCCCATACAGGATCCATCAGCATGGACGCCTCCACGCCAGCAAGCCCATAGAGACTCAGGTTCAGTCCGATGATACCGGCTATGAACCAGCTGTAATAGACCCATGTCGCGCCAGGCGGCCCAAAGACCAGTGGATTTCTGGGATCTTGAGGCGCGAGATAGATGCGCCATATGGCCACGAAGTAACCCGTTATGATGAGCGGGGCTAGAATGCCGACGAGCGAGCGAAAGTAGAAGCGGCGTAGCTGATGGCCACGGCCTGGTTCAGTAGTCTCGGCCTGGAAGTGAGTAGTAGATGCATATTTGGAAGGACTGGACAATGGGAGAGATGTCTTAGCATGAGCAACAGACTGCTTTTGATCACCCACTGACTCGTATTCCTCAGTTTGCAACATGTCATCCAGCTCTAGATTGTTATAATAATGTCGAGGATCCATCCTGGCGCAAAGGCGAGTTCGCGCACTGCGCCGCGCGAGGGACCGCTCGAATTTAAAGAAGCAGTTCGGAATCGGGTTCGAAAAGGCATTGAGGAGAAAGCCAAGTTGAAGGATTTACAGGGTTCTTCGTGTTGGCAGATTGTTTCGGGCTTGTCAGCTCCTTGAACTCGCTGCAGGTTTTGATCGAGACCGTCCAAATGAAAGAGTTCGCGAGCCGTTGGGGGCCATACAAGCGGCCGGTCCCGCACTGGCACAAGCCCTGTAGGAGCCGCTTCATCTACCTGACCTCCATTTATGCAGGAAATTAGGTGACGATAGTGCCAATGGTTGCAGAGAATGGGGGCGGCACAGTCACGCTATTACAGTGATGAGTAAGAACACAATCGCTTGGCTCGTGAAACCCCTACCAAAAGACGAAACCAGCTGAGCTCTAAGCGTTTCATTTCACACTCGCTTCACCGTATTAGGAAAATCTGCCAATTATAGTGTAGGAGCCATCACTGCTTATCTCATTGCATCATTTTGTGGCACGTAAAACCCAATTGCTACATGGCTGGTATGCTGGCGGCCCTAAAAGGGAAGTTGTGTATGTCCAATTCCTAACTAAGACTACCTGTCTTCTCATACATGATGAAAGCATCGTCCTTTCTGAGACTATTTCATCTTGCACGCCAAGCTCTCCAGCTGATTCTTAACACAAACGACGAACTCATCGAAACGATTGACATAAGATTGCTTGGAGACTATCAGGCCACCCAAAAAAAAAAACCACCAAAAAAGCCATGTGAAATGAAAACAATAAGCTTTTATCAAGAATTATATGATCTTCTCCATCTAGCACTTCTGCCATTGCAAGTAATGAACTTGAGTAAACTTCAGATCAGTGGAGTCAACCTAAGAAATGTCAGCAACGCGAATGTCGAAATTGCGGCGCAGGCACTAACTGTCAAAAGAGCTTTCTGGCTATTGTCTTGCGGAGATAGCCTAACTTCAGAGTTGATGTTTAGAAGGCCCTCCAGCCCACATGGTGACCAGACGGTAGTCTCAACATTCAGTTGATCCGTCTTGATATAGTTATCATCATATGGTCCTTTGATAGTCATGGTAGTCGAAGTCTTTCATAAAGATGATTAGCAATTGGAGCAGAGTGACACAAAACAACCACGTTTGAGGCAAAGGTGGAATGTTCTACCTGTTTTGAGTCTCCAGAGAAGTAATAAGTGGCTTTGCACGTTCCTGTGTCTCCTTGCGGGATTTGGGCATAACCACGGTAATCAGCCTTGAAAACTGAGAATTGCCATCCCTGAGGGTATTTGAGCTTGACGTTTAGCTGGCAATTTTTGCGATATTCTGATACTTTTACGCCTGGGCCTGCCTGTGATACGAAGCTATCGTACAGAACTGTAAGCGTCGTCGAATCTCCCGATAGTTGTCCGGCGACAGATCCGGCAGGGCATCCCGACCCAGCAAACGCCACGCCGGTGATGCTAACATCGTGGCCGGAAGGTTCTTCCCCATAATAATTTGGGTTGATAACTCCTGCAGCCGCGAAGCTCAGGCCCGCAACATGAGCCAATAGGGTAGTGGCATACATTATAGAACTTGGAAGAATTTTGAAGACTGCGTCAATGATATCTCAGCACATGCAGCTGTCAAACTGGAGTAGTCGGCTCATCCGAGATCGTAGAAGGATCGCCGTGGCTTTATATAGCCGTCAAACTTCGGTCATAATGAACTATACGTGAAATATCACCGATAATCTGGAATTATACATCGAGACATATGTCGCGCTGCAAAATAATCAATTACACGATTTTTTCGCTTGAACTCAAATTGTACGGAAAGTAGGCGCTTAGGTTCGCCAAGCTTGCAGGGCCGCAATGTTTGTATAAAGTCACTTAAGATTGATTGTAACGGAGATTGGAACCAGGCGAACTTGTTTGACCGCGTGAAGCGTTTCGACAACGATAAGACGGTTGAGTATAACCTCACAGTGGACAATTATTTCCCCTACGCAGGGGTGCTTGTTCTGGCGCGATTCTATTTTGGGATGAACCGCATGATTAGAAGTATCGCCGGGTTTGGCGAACCATATTGTCCTCATTTTCGACATGTTGATAGGGAAATGAATATAGAAGTAGTTTTTTGTCGTAATATTCACTACCAATATCTGCACAGGGCTGCATGAGTTCATAAATTGACATTTGTGAAACAGGGTCTCAGTGGCACCGTAGCGCGGATGCCAAAACAGGTATAAACCAGGGGTAAGATCTCACACAATGGATTTCATAGATTTCGGCTGAGATCCGTAAAGTACGCCCAGCTGGAAAGAAAACCAGTGGGCATTGTGGTACCAGTAGTGCGGCACGAACACTCTTCAGATCCCTCAAGAATAGCCTGAGACCTTTCCCCACATTCAATTTGTACTTTAGACAGACCACCACTCGAGAGTCTCTTAATCTGGTAATCTCGCCGTTCATCTGGCATCTCTGAAAAATATGTTCAAAGGATCTGAATCCAAGAAACTTACTGATTGATTAAGATGAAGGCGGAGTCATAGCGAGACCTTTGCTGTTGCCATCATTGCACGTCTGTTGTCGGTGAAGATGATTCTCAATATGCCGAGCAATTTCTGATGAGCAAGCTATTTGTGTAAATAAGAACAACTTCATTTGTACAGATTTCTATTCACATGGCTCTAAGTAGTGACTCTCCATCTCTCTACGACCTCATACAACGTTTCTGGCGAGCCTACATTGCCAGGGAAAACTACGTATGGTAGGCCTGCCCACTTTGACTCTGGCTCATCGCATCTCCATAGGGGAATACCTGGCGCAGCTTGACCCACTATCAGAGCCTGCTTCATCCGTAGACCCTTGGTTGCCATATCTGAGGACGTGATGCCACCCTTGGCTATCACATATCGTGGCTTAGTTTTCAAGTCGACGAGGAATGAAACCAACGATTTCGCCACAATCGACCCAATATCCAAGCTCTTAACTTCATCCTCGCCAACTATCAGCTCTCTACTCGTCATAACGAGGACATCCTGGCCATTTGTGATCTGTTTCTCTGCGACTTCGATGGCGTGAGAAATTTCCTTGGCACTAGACTCTGATGACTCTAATAACTTTCGCACGTCCATGATGACAGTCGTCAGTCTATCACCACTCTTACTAATCAGCTTCTCTAGTTGAAGTGTAGTCTTTGGCACATAAGATCCTGCAATAATCAGTCCACCTGCAGCTGGCGTAAGAGACAGTTGCTTGGCTGAGATCGGCGGGATAGGTGATATCCCCAGGCGCGCCGACACGAACGCCGCCCCGGTCCGGAACAAAAATCTCTTTCCTTCCGCGGCAGATTTCAGGATGGCGAGGACGACTACGTCCATATCTTCTTCCGCAGCAGCATTGATGACTACCACTGACCGTTTTGGTAGACTTCTGAATTGATCAAGCACTGCATCTGCTCCTCCCGTTCGGATCGTGTTAAGACTGATACTGGTGACCCTCTCAGCAGAGATTGCTCCTTTACCCTTCTCAACTACATAGTCTTTCAGGTCGGAGCTTCGATAACCGAAGGTGGCATCCTTAGCGAATGGTGTCTGGCCAGCGGGCACTATCCGCTTTCCGTCCTCGTCAAGGACATAATGCACATCATTGATGGTGTACCGCCCTCCTTGAAGGAAAAAGGGGCACAAGATCCAGGCGTCCGCCTCACCGAGCACGGACTCCGCGGCCTCTGGTTCTAGCGGAAAATGACCTCGTAGAGTTGAGTCGCCTCGAAGTACAACCTCGAATGTGGTACCAGCGGCCTTAGAAGCAGCTTGCAGGTTGGTGCAAATCTCAACAATGAGCTCCCTTGCTGGTCCAGGATGCAAGGCTCGGGAATTAGTGAGAATGAAGAAACCACTGCCGGGATTTGTGGTCTGGAAGGTATTGGTCAGGGTTGGGACATCCCATACTGTTAGGACTGGAATATTGTGGCATGTTTGAGTTCCTGTCGGGTCATCGTCTAGGGCTACAAGTATTGGGATTCCGGAGTTGGGCGATTGTAAGAGTGTGCGAACCTCTGAGCGGAGATTTGAGGACGGTGCCTTTGGGAGTGACGAGATCGTCGTTCCCAGGTCCAGAACCTCGTGCTGCGTCATTGTGCTTAGTAAAATCTGTTGGAGCCAATATTATTTGAGTTTCACAGCCGTAAAATCTGATTTTATGAAATCTTTGTAGCTCACATCTGGAATATGAAGCTTGTGAAGCGCAGGTTCGGCGACTTTGAGATGGAGCTCCACACCGGCGGCATAATGCCCTCAGCGCCGATGCTAACATGGTGCACTCGGGATTTCGCTGATATAGCGGCTTTCCAGCGTTTACGACTCGAGCTAGCCGAGGCAATGATCCCATTCGCCCATTACGCCGATCACAAATGAGAAGGGATGGACCACATTTTGCATGCTCTACCATGGCCAATTCGCCGTCATTCACTATGCTTTTGAGACTGCCATGGCATTATTTATGATCATCTTTTTTATCTTCAACTATAGCTTTAATATTGGAACTGGCTAGTCAAAAGATTATACACATCATTTGCCGAATCAGACCCAAAGGCTTCGTATATCAAGCTATCGTTCATGATAGTCGTGTTGTCGAAAAGGGGGCCTTGTCCAACTGGCGGAGAGTACGAAGCCCAGCCAGGAACTTCACTAAGTAACCCAGGATCAGGAAACCCAGCATGATGGTGATGGTGATGCCTCGCGCTTGGGGTATGTCCTCCGAAACCGAGTGCTGGAGAGCCAGCAACAGGTTCCTCGATCCTGACCATTTTTCCTGTATTCACGGATTTGGTGCCTAGCTTGACGAGCATCTTCTCCAAACCCGCCGCAATATGGTAGAGCAGATGCCGATCGGACGTCACCGTGCTTTTCAGAAGCACAATCATCCGTTCTAGCAAATTCGAGACGTATCCTGACTCGACATTCAATCCCATTACTCGATTCCATTTCGTCGCAACTTTCATCAAAAATACACTAGCAAAGGCCACCATTGTGTGCACATATAATGGAGTCCCCACAAGAGCCCTTCTCAAATCTTGCTCTTCTAGAATGAACGTCAGAATGCTCACCGCCGCTGATATTGCGCTATTGGCAAATTCTTTCCGCTCAGTCGAGAGTCTCCCGCCAGCACCCGCTCCTTCTTCGTGCTGAGAAAGACTCACACCTCGTACTGCTAGCGAGTTCATTTGGAGCTTAGCAAAGTAGGAGTACAGAATGATGCCTTTATATGGGAAGCTCCCAATAAACTCATTGTCAGACATTCTTGCATGCCAACGTACTCTCCAAGTGTCGATGTCAAGATTGAAGCTTCGCAGATCGGCAAAGTCTCCGCTCTGCTCGCTCAACATCCCTTTATCTGCAAAACGATCATACACTCGCGTTAGGATCTGCATGAGTGCAACCTGGGAAAGGATGCGTTTGTCCAGGGCATCGGCGAAGGGGGAATGGAGGAATAGCTCGTGGTTTCTAATTTGCTGTGACTCGCTGACCATCGGCGGACGGCCGTATGCTATGCTGAAATGGTGATCGCACACATAGAGCATGTACCACAGGCGAGCACGTTGGAAGTGCTCGCGATCTCCTTCAAGCGCTTTTGGGAAAGATTGGTGGATATTGAGCTCAGTTGCTATTCTAATTGCGTGGCCGGACAGCTTCCACGACACTGATGTCTTCTATTAGCAAGATTGTCAATGTCAACAGATTTATCTACCTCACCTTCTGATAACCAAAATGCAGCAATGCATAGACCCCGAACATCGTCAATAGAGTGATATCTCGAGAACATAGACGAAGAAATAAGCGAAAGGAACTCCTTGTAACAATTGTCAAAAGTTTCGGCGCTCGTAGGGATGTGAAGTGCTGTGACGGTGAGGATAGTAGCGGTAAGTAGTTCAGAAGACTGTCGAACCGAAGAGAAGTCTGGATGGGTTTGCTCAAGACCAACCCAGAGGTAGTGGTTAAGAGATGTGTGAAAGCTACACAGGATTAGAACAAGACATGCCATTCTATGATGTTGGTCTCTTACATTTTGTATAGTTCTTCTGCTTCGGCCTCCGAGATGACACCTCTAGATATGAAGTCGTTCAACTCTCCTTGTCCCGAGGCAATTGGACGTGCCGTCTTAGCTCGATTGCTGCGGATATTCCTGAGCCTGGTGACTTCGTAAAGACTTCCCATGGGCTCTTCAACAGTAACGGCACCATTGACGTGTTCATTACTTCCTGTTGGCTCGACGGAGTTTTCTCTTGTCATTGCCATGTGAGTATTGTCTTCCCGTGTCGAAAGAATAGTTCCACCGGGGCTTGTGTTATTCATTGGAGTACTGATGATTTCAGTATGTCCCACAGAGTGTTGTGCTGGTGACGCAACTGTGCCTCCGTTTCTTAATAGCATATTGAGACAATCCTTCATTTGAAGTATCTCTTCGCGCATACTATCGATTTTCTTCCTGAAAGCTTAAGTCAGCTCGTGTCATGTAATGGAGTTCTGCAAAACTGCATACTCGTAATCAACCGAAGGGGTCGATACGAAGCACCCATCGGGAGATGTTCTCGGATGAAAGGCTCCCTTGGTTATGCATTTGATGTTTCGCCGTAGACAATGCCTGCAACTGCTATCTCCAGGCAGTACCTCACATCTCATCTTTTGCTTCCTACATTCAACACCTATAGGACGTTAGTCAATGACAATGCCAGCCTCATATTGCACCTAATGGTTTCTCACAGGCACGTGGTTTCCGTCCAGGTCCAGTCTTGCGCTCAGGATCTCCCCCACCAGCTCCATTCCGGCTTTGGGAAACATCTTCCTTCGTACTCTCATGATTCTCTTCATTACCTTTTGCTGTCTTCTTCTCAGCCGGCACTGGAGGGTCCTCTTGGTTTTCAAAAGCTGCACCCGCCATGTCTCGTCTCCGTATCTGTCGATCCGTCGCTATAGCAATACCACCAGTGGCAGTGAACGGAAAATCGGATCGGTTCAATATGCGAGATGCGGGATTCATGTATGTGGAATGTCTCTACGAAAGCCCAGCCCGATGGTACCGGCAAATTGACCGAAACCCCGGATAGCTGCCCCCAACTTCCCTCCTGGAAAACTCCAACCCATACCCACCTGACCGCAATCAGCTGCACGCGGGGCTGTGGTGAAAGCGGGGAATTTATGGGGGCTGCGGGGACTGATGATGCTTTAATAACTCCTCTTTTGCGGCGTTGTACCAATTGGAATTTCGGACGGACGCCAAGGGAGAAATCCGTGAGCAGACGAGTTCAGACGACACAACTTAGCACGAGTCATGTAACAAGGGAAAGGCTAGCTTGTAAGCGTTCGGAAATCGGCATACATCTCAGACTTTGGTGATGAACTGCACGGCTGGGCAGCCTCGTTTGCTTTGTTAATTATATCTTAGGTATGAAATATTTATACAATGGGCCGTGGAGCATAACCATCGCTGAGACTGCAGGCTATGTTGGACAGATCGTAAAGTAGACCACCTCATCACCATGAATTTCCGGCCCTCCAGCCTTAGATAATTACATGGCTATCACATCAACATCATCTGTACACAACTGTATTTAGGTAGGTAGTGGCGTTGCCATCACTGTTCCCTCTCAATAGTGCCTTTAGATCATATCGTACGATTCGTCACTTGCGCATTGCTCGAAGTGGGACGCATATGTCTACGATGTTTAGTCTTAGATCCTGTGGGCTTGAATCCTAGCTCCTAACTCTCATTCCCCTTTCTCTTGAGTCATCTGTCCTCCTGACGATTAATAAGCATGACTATTGCTTCCAAGTGAGATTTCTAAAGACTTCTTGGCTATCCTGCGCTTCTAGCCATTGCAAGGGGCGTTTCACGAATAGTCGCTCACGGCTTGTTCGTCGCTCATTTCGAAACTTACTCAATATAAATCAAGGAAGGGAATGAAGTCTGGAAATGCGCAATGAGAGCGTCTAGATCATGGTAGCCTACCACTAATGAATTTAGATAAACCGTAGCATAGTCTAGACCTCGCACCTGAACCTTCCTCTCGGATCATACAGAATATTTGGCATAAGCCGCCTCTCGAGTTACACAACATAAAAGAGACGGAGTTGCTGGAAGGTAATTTGAAAGGAAGCCTGGGTTGCGATCAAATCAGTAGTGGTACCATGAATTCAAACAATTACACACGGTAGATATTTGATGTAATTTGATGGATATTGGTAGAATTGCTACCTTTATACGCTGAAGTACTAAATTGCCCCAATAATCTCCCCTCGTAGACAAGAAACGAGATTGATGAGCTCCCCCTTTCCATTGTTCCTTTAAGTCTGGTACTTAGCTACCTGGCCAGCCTGAGCTCCACCCAAAGCCCGTCCAGCAGTTGGATGCTCATTCATCTTCTCAAGGTGTTGAGACAAATCAGCTTTCTCAGGAGAAACTCCTGCTTCGAGGCTTGATACAATGCCATTAAGTTGATCGAGCTTCTTATTGTCTCGCTTCAGGCAGATTGAGAGAACCAATGAAGATAGAAGAGTGACGACGGACAGAGCCAGGTTAACAGACCAAGCTATTCAAGTTAGCTTTGATCAAGAACTAGGGAGAACTGAAAGGCTTACCAGTCATGTATCTTGGGCCATCACTAGTCGGGTACAGGTAAGGAGTCCAGACCAGTGCCGTGTTGCCGAGAGCGTTGTTCATGGCTAGCGCAATTGCACGCTTCTTCTGGGGTCTTGCGGCGATGTTTGCCATCCATGCGTTCGAAATCTGGAAGCAGCCATATGTGCCCGCAAGCATAGGAAACAAGGCGAAGTAACGAGCGCCTAGGTTTGTAGTTGCCATTGTGATGATGATCCCAGCAATTGCGGCGACAGTCGGATAGATCATGTGAGGTGATCGCTTGCTAGTCTTGTCAGAGTACCAAGTATTGAAGAGGCAGAAACAGGCGGTGAAAAGGTAGGGCTTGTGAATGGTTAGCATGTTTTTCCTTCAAACAAAGTCAAGTGTCCTTACAGGTGCAGTGAGAAGTAGAGTGTGGATGGTTGAGTAACCGAAGTTCTTGACCAGAGTAGGCAAGAAGTTGGTGAGAGATGCCACCGCTTGGACACACATCTGATTCAAAATGCAGAGCCACACTCGGTAATCCTTAGAGGCCATCTTGAGTGCTGCCATAGGCTTGATCTCTGCTTCTTCGTGACCGGCATCCTCCACTAGTCGGGTGACACCAAGAGCCTTTTCCTCTTCGCTAAGCCACTTGGTGGTGGCAGGCCAATCGGGGATGACGAAAGCCGTGATCGCAGCAAATACGACAGTTGCGGCACCTTCAATGATGAAGAGCCATCTGATAAGTGTTAATACATAGACATGATGGCATACATTCCTCAATTGAAACATACCTCCAACTGGCAATCCTATTATGCTCGAACGCAGCCGCGATGCCAGCGGCAAAGAGACCGCCGAAAGCACCGGACAACATAGCAGCGCAGAAAAAGATACCGAGTCGCATACCGAGTTCCTTTCGAGTGTACCAACCGGAAAATAAGAACGCTACTCCTGCAAAGAACTACACACATTAGTCTCATGGAGATTGTGAAATACACAAGTATACTTACTGGTGCTTCGGTAATACCCAAGAAGAATCGACAAGCCGCAATGCCTCCGAAGCTTTGCACTGCTCCAGAGCAACCACTGACTATTCCCCAAGCAATCATGACTCCAGATAGATACCAACTTGGTCGGACAAGACTAAGGATCATGTTACTCGGGACTGTAAATTCTTAATTAGTACCCGACTTCCACTGTTATGATTACTGAGTGCCTCTTACCTTGCATGAGAATGTAGCCAATGAATGTCAAGCTGAGAACCAAGTTATAATCAACACCCTTAAGACCAAGATCATCCTCGAGGCCTTGGATGCGAGCTTGAGGGAGGGCATTCCGGTCGATGTAGTTCATGATATACATGATGATCTGTATTGAAGAAAAGCCAATGATGAGCCTCAAGTCTAACGCCAGTGGCAGACTCCTCCACGAAAGTAGCTTGAGCTTACTAAGATAGGGAGAAGTCGGAAGTCGATCTTTCTCACGAACTTCTTCTCTTTTGCTGCTCTCTCCTCAGGAGTCCATGCAGCAATGATTGCGGCCCACTCCGCAGGGGTGTGACCACCCTGGGGGTCGACATGTCCTCCTAGAGTCATCTCGAAAGCGATATCGAGTTGATATTGTCTGAAGTAATGTAGTTGACTTTGAAGAAATAGAAACGATAAGAGTAGCAGGGCGAAAGGTTGGATCTGCAAAGTTTGCGTCCTTGTTTAATGGAGATCGAGAGTCTTATACTGCGAGAAAGGGAGCCTTGCCCCCTTTACCCCGACAACTTGGAATCTGGGGCCCCAGGTATTTACCGCCTATAACCCAACCCATTTTGCGAGTATGTGGAAGCCGGAAGAGATTCCCTTGTAGTGTGCCATGTTCCCGGGTTCCTGTGGCCGTGCCACGAGTCAGCTTGGCGTCCGAATTTCCAGCCGAAACCCCAGCGTCCACTGTCGCGCTAGAGGAATTAGCAATGCGCCACACATTTCTTGGGTCTATTATGGCTCTAGTCCAGCGCCATTTGGAGAAACATGGGGTAGCACCACACCACTTCCCGGTCGGGAAATCGGGATATACAGAGTCAGTCTCTCCTATTACCGGGTAATCTTGCGGGGGCGGATGGCGATACAAAACGAAACCGGAAGATATAAGTGAATCTTCAAGGATACAAATATTGTATATCAGAAGAGGTCTCCAGGAACATCTTGGATCTTCCCGTCAATATAACAGACTTCACATTGTGCCTTTCATACCTTTCATTTAGCCTTTCTTGATATTGTCCAATTGCCATTATGACAAGCCTGTCCACCAAGCTGGCCGAGCTCGAGGCCGCCGGTAAGCCGATCCAAGTCGGTATTATCGGTGCCGGCAAGTTTGGCTCTATGTTCATCTCACAGTCTCACCGCACCACTGGCATGCGTCTCGCAGGTATCGCTGACTTGTCTGTCGACCGAGCACTGTCAGCACTGAAGCGAACAGGTTTCCCAGCTGAGAAGTATGATGGCACTGCCACGATGTCATTGGAGGATGGCCTTAAGTCAGGAAAGACCGTTATTACTACCGACTCCGCCAAGTTGATTGCTACTCCTGGAATTGATGTCATTCTGGAGGTCACCGGTAATCCCGCGGCCGGTATCCGACATGCTCTCCTTGTAGGTTCGGGTTCAAAGACCCGTGAGATCCCGGCTAATTCAGATAGTGCTGCGAACACAAGAAGCACATCGTTATGATCAACGTTGAGGCCGATGTATTGGCTGGGCCTCTTCTGGCAAGGAAAGCAAAGGAAGCCGGCATCATTTATTCAATGGCATATGGCGACCAGCCTGCTTTGATTGCTGAGCTTGTCGATTGGGCAAGGACTGCTGGATTGTAAGTCCCCAAGACTGCTTGAAATCCTTCTATTAGCTTCGAGGCTCTGACCAAAATACAGTAACGTGGTTTGTGCAGGCAAGGGCACCAAGCATCTACCTGAATACCACTACTCCACACCAGATACTGTTTGGAATTACTATGGATTCACTGAGGAGCAGCTTGCCACCGGTGACTTCAATCCTCAGATGTTCAATTCTTTCCTTGATGGCACGAAGTCAGCCCTGGAGATGGCAGCTGTTGCCAATGGCTGTGACCTTAGCCCGCCTTCCAACGGCTTGAGCTTCCCGCCTTGTGGTGTCTGGGATTTGCCTGAGGTCCTGAAGCCCAAGTCTGATGGTGGCCAACTAGAGAAGAACGGTACCGTCGAGGTTGTTTCCTGCATGGAGAAGGATGGCCGATGGACCTTCAACCACCTAAGATGGGGTGTATATGTCATCATTGAGGCGCCAGGTGACTACCAGAAGGACTGCTTCAAGCAGTACGGCCTGAAGACCGACAGTACAGGACGGTATGCTGCCCAGTATAAGCCTTACCACCTAATCGGTCTAGAGCTTGGTGTCTCAGTTGCCACCATCATGTGCCGTGGAGAGCCTACTGGACAGACAAAGGTCTGGGCTGGCGATGTCGTTGCCACAGCCAAGCGGGAGCTGAAAGCCGGCGAGAAGCTTGATGGCGAGGGTGGATTTATGGTCTACGGAAAGCTGATGACAGCGGAAGATTCTATGGCTATCGAGGGACTGCCGATTGGTCTGGCACACGGACTCGTGCTGAAGAGAGACGTAAAGAAGGACCAGGGCTTGAGCTGGCAAGATGTTGAGTGGTCAGACAAGTCACAAGCAGTTGCTGTGCGCCGAGAGATGGAGGCTCTATTCAGAAAAGAGTTTCAGGCGCGCAAGGTCAACGGCAAGGCTAATGGTGTGAATGGTGTAAACGGTGTTCATTAGAGTTGGACCCAGATAGATCAGCATTTCCGCAACGAATTCAAGCGTTCAGATACAACTTCCAAGACCTTGCTGGCTGAGTTCCACTGCAAAAAGCCATCCAAAGTCACACAAACGTTATCACGACACTTTCGTGGAGACGAAAATTCCTTAGGGGGCTGTGGGCGCTAAATATACGGACCCATTACAATGGCGTTGCGCAGCCACGCGCCGGAACGATGCCAATGCAATTGACTCATTCGGCGTCCAGATGCAGTGGGCCACACCAAATCTATTGTTTCTGTTATATTTATATTAGATTGTTGTAGCAAAACTAAAAGAAGGTGTCGCAAGACAGCTATAGAGTTTGATATAAGCCTGTACAGTACCTTGGCCAATATGCCGCTGTATCGCGAAATCCGCGCCGCATATGATTCCAAGACGATCACAGTCTACCAGGCGTACAAAGCAGAAATTGCAGACCCCGCAGTATCTGAGCAAAAGCTACACGCATCGCCGCTCTTCAAGCCCAGCCGCATGACATGGATCAAGCCAAGCTGGGCTTGGATGCTCTATCGAGCTGGGTACTCGTACAAGGATCGCGGACAGGAGCGCATTCTTGCTTTACATATGAAGCACGAGCATTTTATTGAGCTACTCGAACATGGAGCACTGGCCCACAAAAATGCCGATCTTCCTATCAACACGTCAATGGATGCTGGTGAATCTGAATCATTGGAACGACTTCGCAAATTCGCTGAGGCTGAACTTGAAGGTGGGAACTCCGCTCAACAAATCGAGACGGACGGAAAGCCACAAGTTAGAGTGCAGTGGGACCCAGAACGGACGATACGTCTGGAGAAACTGCCGCACCGCAGCATCCAAATTGGCATTCCGGCTGCCTTAAGTTCCAAGTGGACGGAAACGATGATTGTCAGAATTGAGGATGTCACGGAAAAGGCCCGGGAATTGAAGAAGCTACTCGATGAACGAGATGATATCACAAATGAGGAGCTCATTAGGAAGGGACTGATCCCGGTGGAGAAAGTCTTCGATGTTCCCGAACATGTACAAAGATTACTTGAGATGGGTTGATAGAGTTTCAGCTTATGAAGCGATGTTACTGGTTGCTGACTGCGTTGTTGATTAGACGCTATCCGCCATAAGCTTACCTCCACACAAAACCTCTCCTGCACCATGAGCTGGCTTATTGGGCCGCCATTTTCTTTGCGGCGATCTCCTTCAAGGGTGTTCCGTCACAGTATAGCCTGTAACTAGCAATCTTGCCCGCCTCATCGAACTCTACGACTTCCGTTTCGGGAAAGTGCTCCACATGCTCTCCGAATATCGTGAGATGGTTGTCCATCTCCACCACAGCAACCTTGCCGTCTGCAGACAAAGACTGTGATCGCTGTCGACGTTCAACCAAAGCCCAGTAAGTTTTGAGTGTCTTGAATGACTCGATCGCGGCTGCTTTGCCAGTCACCGGTGGGCTTGACATGCCCAGGACGTACAGCACAGCATCGTCGGCGAAGTATCCAGCGAGCTTTTCCCATTCTTCGTTGGTCGAGGTCGTCTGAATCTGATCCACTGCTACCCAAAATGCATCCAGTGTAGCAAATCGTGTTGTGGTTGAGTAGGTGGCCATGATGCGATTTTGAAATGGCAAAAAGATGGGGGTTTGAATAAGTGAGCGGTGAATACTCTGAATTGGTCGTAAATATTTCAGCATTGGGTTGAGGATCGATTGTCACGATTAATTAAATAGGTCTGTGTGCTTTGGAATATTCAATACCTTTTATATCGTGGCTCTTCTGTCAGCTCACACTCGGCTTTAAACCACTGGATGAATCTTATAAAGCATGTCAAATAGCTCCGATGAGAAAGTTCGGGCCAATAGCCATCGAGATAAAGCTGATGCATTTGCCAAATTAGGTTACTAGGAAAATTGGAGGGTAAGAGAGACTTACGGGTGAATTGCTCGCTGGGTTTAAGTGGTCAGTTGGTTGTACGGTCGAGGTTGTCTGACTAATGTCTTGGGGTCGCCACTTATCGCCGATGATGACAAGCCCTTTGACTGCAGCAGTTGAGATTTTCATGACATACTAGACTTTGAGTTGGCTATAAAGTTTCTCAATGAGTATATAGATTAACAGCCTTGTGGAGATTCGTGTATTCAAAAAGGTCTAAGAGCTACATTTCTTTACGGAAGCTTGAGACCATGCTCATGCCCGGGCTGCGATGCAAAACGTTGAGAACCCCATATCACAGTGAATTGATCTAAATTTACTCAATGAGAGAGTCAAGAGATTGATAAAGACAATGTCATTTTGAGAACCAAAGACTTTAAATTCTTGTTTTGGATATATAAAGAAAGTGTGCCCAGATAACATCCGGCACAAATTCCGAGTCTTGAGCTCGCAAACTAAAATCATACACATTGTCTAAGAAATTGTGGCCTTTTACTATTGACAACAGCCCAAGGAAACTTTACTTTAAAACAGAACAGAATAGAGCATTTCAAGTGTCTATGTTGGTTTCCTCGAAAGCTCCGGCCCTCCTACGGGACATATCCACATTTCCGTCCACTGGGCGGTGGGGCTGCACCATCGCTGCCGTTCCACAGCGGCGGACTTACTGGGTAACGCCGATATCCAGCACACGAAATGCTCTTCTAGTCTTGGCATCTTATCAAGGACGGCCCTAGATTGGAAGTAAGCTCCATTGTTGGCGAATAAACTGCGCCGGCGGGATGCTCGTTTACTCTTTTCGTTCTGTGCCGCAAAGCCACTGATCTTAGACCAGCCCCGAAAGGATTCGCGCACATAGAGCCTTACAAATCCTGGCATCGAGATCACATGGTTCCGCGTCGGCAGCGCGCCAGAGAGATAGGACCGCGCGTTGTATGTCCGAAGTCCGATTAATGCTGCATTGGACGTGACTCATGCGGCGGCACAGTTGAGAGCAGGTCAGGCAAAATGCTCAAGCAATTGTCTTGGCCAATGCCTTATATGAACGTGGCCACTTCCAGGCTTCAACGATTACCACCCCCTCACTACTAAGCTTACTAGGTAGGAAGCATTGATTTCTCACATCAAAATATGGCTCCCGTAGTATTTCATCTTGTGTCTCTGAAGTCAGTTGACGACAAAGACTCCTTCGTTTTTGCGCTCAAGTCTCTCTCCTCAGCTGAACGACCATTATGGGCAGCTACCCCTAATCATTGGATTAGCGAGCCTCAGCTATCTGCCAGCACGTTGATTGGATCAGGGCCTCAAGTGCAAGCATGGGACTACGTGGTTGTCTTCAAATCACCAACCCGAGAGATTCCTGAATTGCCAGCCGCGCTACAGCCACTCGTGGCTTTGCGGTGGTCCATTACCGCTGAAGTGCAAGATGAGATGATCGACAATCTGTCAACTCGAAAGGCTGCAATGGTGGCAGGGACTCCACCTCCTCTACCCGACGGCTGGTCTGCAGCGGATCACTCGGGTAATGATAGTGCCAAGGCTCCGACAGACGTTAAGATCTCATTAGAGACACCCTCTCGTGCTTTCGGCTCCGACAAATCAGGTACTGGTACCCCTATGAAGGAAGTCATTCGTGATATTGGCGTCAATCATCCTGGGCCAGTAGCTATGCTCAACTTTCTTTCGTATCTTCCCAATCAGCGACCGAAATACCTCGAGTTCATGGGCGCATTCCAGGTTACCGTTGGGCCGAAGTACGGCGGTCAGCCGCTACTCGTCGGCTTGGGCGTCTCGGATTGGAGTTCTAGGGCAGAAGAAGAGGCAGGTGGACAAGTGGGCGAGTGGGAAGATGCCGCCTTGCTCTGGTACCCAGAGGTCTGGCATTTCGCTAAAATGTTGGATGATCCCATGTACACAGATCTAGACCGCCGCCACAAAACTGGCGTAGTAAGGGATAACACGGTACTCTGTTGTACTGAAGTCAATCTCGATTAAGGGATCAGGGAAAGACCTCCTAGATCTAGCTCTCTCTGTCCTCACCAGACAAAGGTAGCTAGTTGAATAAAACCCCTTTGTGGTGGCCAATCGAGTAGAGATCCTCAATGAGTATCGATTAGCTATAAGAAGAAGGAGGGTGTCTCCTATCGAGAATATCAAACTACTAAAATGAATGCCTATTGTGTTCAGATTGACGCTGGTCAAATTTATCCCGTAAATAACATTAGGGGATTTGGGGGAACGTCCTTCACAGATATGACGGTAACGTTCCTGGGTAAATGTTCTGAGCTCAGTCTTATGGAGGTGTATACATAGCTGCTAGCCTGATGGCTTGATCCTTCCGGTTGGGTCGGGATATGGCCTAGAACAGCCACCGCGAAAATCACCATAGCTACGAATTACGGCTAAGGGAGTCCGTTGTGGGCACGCGATTACTTGGACTGATAGATTGCTCACATTGCAATACTATTTGTTGAATGACAAGCCTTAGAGAACAAGCTAGGGGTATTTCCTTTATCCGATATCTTTTGTTCTGAGAGTAGACTCTATAGGCGATAGAGTTATATAGATCTTGCAACACTTTACCAACTACTCAGATACCAATTTCACGATTGGTATTATTCACATCAGCATGATCTTAGTTTCGCGACTTGATCGGCTATCAAGATATTTCTTAATTCTTATCGAGTGACTTGAGCTCTGACTAAGATGGACTCCTAGATTTCAGACTGTCTCTTTGAACTCGACATCCACATCCTGCTTTCCCTCTGACACCACAACCATAGCGTTCTTGGCCTCCTTGTAGTTTTTACGAGCCTTGCGTGCCAACACTGGTACATCTGGCCCAAACAAGAGATCCATATCTTCTAGCTGAACTCCCTTCGTTTCTGGAATGAAGTACCATGCAAACAATATTGCCAAGACTGTGCAGCAGCCGAAGAACAAAAATGTCCCATACTTGATCCCAAGAACCATGTGCGGAAGCGAGTATACAACAACAAATTGAGTTAGCCACTGGAAGCAAATGCAGAAAGCCATCCCCGCTGTGCGAACTCTGGTAGGCAAAATCTCGCTGGTGAAAAGCCACGGAATGCCGTTCCAGCTGAGACCATAGAATAAGGCATAGATGTAAATCATGGCAACCGCAGCATTGGCCCCCGAATCACGAGGTGGTGTGTGATCAAATGATCCGCTGACTTTACTGTAGCCGGCTAGGTAGAACATTGCCACCCCTGAGCCAACGCCACCAACAAGCAGAAGGATTCGGCGGCCGGCTTTGTCGACGAGCAAACCGGCGTAGAGAATTGTAGCGACCATCTTGACGAGACCAAAGATGCCTGTTGCAAGCAAGCCATTGGATGTACCAGTGTACCCGATGGAGCTGAAGATGGTCGGCGAGTAGTAGTTGATGGCGTTAATACTATCACATAGTTAGCATACCGAAGGTCTAGACCGCCACGAAACACTTACCCCGTGAAGTTCTGGAAGAACACTAAGCCGCAACCTAGCACGACTCTTCCTCGAACACCTCTCTGGAGGAGCTCCTTGACGATTTGCTTCCAGTTGCGGCCTGAATGTGTTGACTCCAGCTCGTGATTCACGGCAACGTCAATCATAGACATTTCCTTGATAACATAAGGATGGTCTTCGGGTAAATGCCTCACCCAGGCTAGAGCCTTTTGTGCCTTTGAGTTTCTGCCTTTAGACACCAACCATCGCGGTGACTCAATCATGGGGATCATGCAGAGCACCAAGAGGCCAGCGGGAATGAACTGCACGGCAACAGGGATGTGCCACTGCCTTGATGTGTCGGCGCTGATGTTCTTGTTCACTCCGTAATTGACCCAGAAGCCGAACACAAGGGCAACCTGCAGCATGATCTCAAAGGTTCCCACAAGTCTACCGCGAATCAGAGCGGGCGAACACTCTGACACGTAGATGGGCAGAATCATGGAGCTGGATCCAACTCCCCAGCCGGTCAAAACTCTTCCAACGTACAAACAATCCAAGCGTCCAAGCATCTGGAGAATGGAACCGATGGCGAAGATGAGAGCAGACAGCATAATAATGGGCCGTCGGCCATATCTCTCGGCTAGGAAGAAGCCAACAGCGCACCCAAAAAAGGCTCCTCCCTGAAACGTGGAGACAATGTTTGATGAGAGGTTGGCTTTGGCTTGCTTAGTTGCAGACGCGAGGCCATAGGTTTTTTGAAACGATGGAAGGTTCAATGTGCCACCGATGAACGCAGAATCGTAACCGTACATTGCCGAAGCCTGAAACGAGAAGGCGTCAGTTGTGACTACGCTATAACCCTTTTGCAAAACTCATTAACTCACCCAAGACGCAGAGAAGGCAAGAGCATAGGGCCGCCAGCCGTAGATCTCTTTGGGTGCTTCATCCCCAGGGCGCTCTTTGAGAGCGAATATATTCCTCATCGTGTCGTTTTGATGTGTTGAGACAAGACCAGTCTCTGGAGAGGTGACGTTGAGAGAAGATGAATGACAACCAGAGCCTCACCAGGAAATAAAACGGGATGTATGAAGAGCTTTATGCGAGACAGATCCAAGCCCAGACACTCGGGTTATGACACTTTGACAGGAACGAGGTCTCATTTGACTTGGGTCATCTGCTTCAAAGCCCCGGATTTGTCTGGTAAGAACTTTTCCGGTCTATCTCCATGCCAAGACTGGTCATTGCCCCAGACCCATTACCAATTTTCACTCAGTGCTGTGGGGTGGCTTGAATGGTGTTGTGCGGGGGAAGGCATTAGACCTGACTCAATCCCCGTCTGTGGGGTCGATGACAACTCTCTAGAACAAGAAATTTGCTAGGATTTACGCTACCGGAACAAGACTTATCCAAAAGACGTCTATAACGATGTTAGCCAGTGAGCCAGTTGACGGCTGGGCATATTCACTATTGGGGCGATTTACTGCACTTCGCACTGGGACCGTCAATTTGATATTTGACCCAATAGACTTACACAGGAATGATCTCGGAACTTCGTACCCGACTCGCTTACCAGCTCCCGATTACCGCCAGGATGGCACCCAATGCCCTACCACCATTTGATGCGCTCCCCTTAGACAAGTCCGGGCCGCCGGGAAATGCTTGGGGATTATGGGGCGAAGATGATCAGCTTGGAATGCTCAACCTCATCACGTCTGAGACAGTGGCAGCAGCAGCAACTGAGATTCGGGAGGGTCTAAGAATAGCCTTGGACTGGCCACTAGACAAACCCTCATTCCCTACATTCGACCGCCAACGCTTCCACCATGAGATCCTTAATAGAGCTCCAATGACCATGAATGATGATGCTGTCGCTTTCAACACGCAAAGTAGCACGCAATGGGATGGCTTCAGGCATTACGGTTCGTATTTGGGCTTCCCACCTAATCTGCGTCTTGACAGCTAATTGTGTTTATAGGGTATCAGCGGACGAAGCAGTTCTATCTGGGACATGTACAATCTGATTTTGAAGGAGGTTCAAGGAAGCTGGGCATTGATGGTAAGCCTTCGCTAGACACCTCTTATCTAAACAAACAAACACTTTTTGACCATGCCTAGCTTGGTCGAAGAAAGGCGGTATCGTAGGGCGTGGGGTTCTCCTAGATTGGTATTCTTGGGCTCAAGCGAATGGAATCTCTCGATCTCCTTTCACAACCGGAGCAGTTGAGCTGCAACACCTCAAGGACATTATCAAGGAGAACAATATCGAGATTCGTCCGGCCGACATTCTGTTCATTCGAGTCGGATTCACTGCAGAGTACAACAAACTCTCAGTCGAGGAGCAACAGAACTTTCCGAACCGCCGACCCGGAGGACTACTTGGCTTTGAGGCCACGCGGGATTCTCTTCGATGGTTGTGGGAGAACCAGTTCGCAGCAATCGCGTCCGATGCAGCTGGCTTTGAGCGGGGCCCAGCCACCGGTCCCTACAACGATCCTGATGTGAGCATACACCAATGGGCACTTGCCGGCTGGGGCCTCCCAATAGGTGAGATGTTTGATTTGGAAGAGTTGGCGGACGCTTGCAGGACGAGAGGACGCTGGACGTTCTTTCTCTCTAGTGTACCCCTCAAGGTAGTTCAGCATCCAACCGCCAGACCCGTCATACTCAGCTAATTGATTCCTCAGATACCGGGAGGCGTTGCCAGTCCAGCGAACGCAGTCGCGATACTATGAATATGCGGTTGTACGAACCATTTTAAGCGGCTTGCTAGGGAAAATCAAACGTTACATATTATCAAGTACATTGAGTTATCCCCTTGGATATGTGATGAGAGCAAATTAGCTACAGAATCTATCTACATTCTGGTCAGGATTCACTCTCTACCGTGAGATATTTCTGCTCTAGAATTACGTGCCAAAGAGCGTGCGCTTGGGCGTCGCCTGTCCGATGAACTGAATGCCGTGTTTCGCGAACGCGGCTGTTAGCTTTGAGAGAACTCCAACCGTCTCATCCGGCAGACTATTCCCATTCTTCCAGCCATTGTCAGCTCTGTTCAAGCGATTGTCCCACCACCAAGGCCAGTTGGACATGTTGATAACGTGCCGCAGGGCTGGGAAGTCTTGAGGGGACCTAGCAGCCATCTCAGACAGGAAATCCACATATTGGGCCCAGAATTCGCCATCGTCCCCATAAAAGTCAACACCCCGGGCCCTGAGAGCTCTACTGCAATCATACAGACGGATAGTGACTGATGATTTTGGCAAGATCTTCCCTGCAGGCGGGAGGAACTTGTTGTTGTCATACTGCTGTATCAGCACAGCAAGGCCGATTCGTAGGTAGGTAAGGTTTTGAAGAATCGCGAGGGTGCATAGTCCTCCAGGAGGACCTATCAACTTGACCAGTCTCTCATAAGCTCCCTGAAACTCGATATGCAGACTCTGGAGTTTCTGAAGTTTTGCCAGTGCGCCTGAAAGGTATGATTATGATAGCTGGCACCAGATGCCTTGACGAGCGTCAAGTCCTCGTCCACCCTGTCGTTGTTTCTGTGAACGAAGATCTGAATGGTAAAATTCTCGAGACCTGGAAACCATTCACATAGATTGTAAACATCGCAAGGTGAGAAAACTCCCTCTAGAAGCTTTCAGAAACTTGATATGGGGAAGGAACGCAGACCAATAGAATGGCTTGACCTCTTCTGGGTCTAGTCAGTCAGGGGGCAAGAAGCCCAGATTACAGTCAAATTCACTCACTAGTTATTTAATCTTGGCCATAAAGAACTGGAAGACGGAAGGGACCATGACTCCCGCGAAGGGTGCCCCGCTCCAGTTCTTTGAAGCGGTATGCTAAGTCGACCACATCTATAACCTCGCGAAAAGATGAATCCCAAGCATCAAAGATCTTTACTTTATTGAGTCGCAGATCGCTTGGCACATAGTCTGCAAGGTCCCTACTGGCACACCTGACAAAAGCATAGAGATGCAGCGGAGTGTGAGCTTGACCTTCACTCTGCGGCTTCACCAGCTCAAGACTGGTGAGCTGGGGTAGGAATGCAAAAAGCCCTGAAAAGAGATCTTTGATGATAGCAGAGATTGATGTGGCTGGAAGGTAAACCTGGTGAGGATAGAGTTTCCGCAGGAACCGGCGAGCTTGTGAGCTGAACCAGGTTGGTATTGTCTCGTCCACATCAAGGACAAGTATCTTCACAAACTCCCCCAGATGCGGAAGAGACATTACCGTGCGGCAGAAATAAAGCAGGTGTTCAACAAAGCGTATCTGAATCGCGTGATAAAGATACCGTTGGGTGACTGATTTCAGTCGCCGAGAAGTAGAGCGGAGGTTACGCATTGTGTGCTTGTCGCCGCGTCTACCAGCTGCTGGCCAATGTTGGCCAAGACCTCCGGTGTTAATCTCTCAAGACGACTCATCTTTGTCAACTGGCGCATCGTTAAACAGTCCATCTGACTATAAAACAGTGTTAGTAATGTTGACACATCTGACGGGGCAAACGTCGGATAGTAGAATGGAGAGACGATCAGCTCTTCTCTGTTACATTAGAAAGTACGCACAGAGCCAGGAGAAGATCTCTCCGGTATATAGCAGCCCGGCGGAAGAGTCAGGAAGAATCAAAGCGACCTGAAAAAAGCCTTTGTTTCGGTGTTGATGAGATATAGATTAGGTTGTGTTGACACTGTAAGATAATAGTAGATGATACTTAGAGAGTTCGATATGAAGGGTTTAGAAAGAATGGACCACCTGCAGAACTTGGCTACAAGAAGGCTACGCTCTGCATATATTATGAGAAAGTGGTAGATGTGTCGGGAAATTTCTCGAGATGGAAATTGTTGGAGTTGGCTTAGATGTGAATGTGATGATCCGTCGACAGTTGTGGGTGAGCTTAAGTATCAAACAACTAGCTGCTGCTTGCCTAATTCCTTAGGTTCCTCTGTAAGAGCGAAACAGTCAAGCTTTGCGTAAATTCATTTAGGAGCAGTTGCAACCGTTGTTTAAATGCACTCACCACGTGAGCATTATCCAAGTACAGTTCCGACGAAATTCCTCTTAATTCTTTGCAGCCTGTGGCAGCTTCCCCAGGAAGTAAAATAGCTTCATACGTTATAGATTAGTGCTTGATTGTCCGCTTCATGTCTTCAGGAGTAAGATGTGATAATATGCGATGGCTAGAAGTCGTCACAAACGAATTCTTCTGACGAATTGAGTAATCATTACACTGATACACTTGTAGTCAAAGATAGTCATTGCTTGACGGCAAATTGAAGTCGACCCAGAGGTCGACGATATCATTCACGTTAAGACTACTCCCGATGATACTATTCAATCAAGCATCTACACCGAATCTCAATCACACTTTTCCTTCCGACAAGCTCCCAACGCCTACTTTCTATCCAATGATCCTGTACATCTGCTAGCCAAAAGAATCTTGGTAGAACTAAAACCAAATACCGGAGCAGCTCTGTCGTGTATGAGTTGCAGCCCAGGATCATTGGTCGTCAGTCAAGTTGTAGATCTTCTGAATGCTCTGGAGCATGGACTCGAAGTCAATCTTCAAGTCCTTGAGGAGGCCATCGTGGAACCCGAAGACCCAGCCGTGGACGACAGGGTACTGGTTCTTGGCGTACGACTGCTGCACAGCGGCAGTCTTAATGACGTTGCGGCACTGCTCGACGACATTGAGCTCGACCAGGCGGTTGTAGCGCTCCGACTCGTCGGCAATGGCGTCGAGCTCGCCCTCGTGCAGCCGGTAGACGTCGCGGATGTTGCGCAGCCAGGGGTTGAGCAGGCCGAGGTCCTTGGGCGTCATGGCGGCCTTAACACCACCGCAGCCGTAGTGCCCGCAGACGATGATGTGCTTGACCTTGAGGTGGCGGACGGCGTAGTTAATGACGCTCATAACGTTCAGGTCGGTGTTGCACACGAGGTTGGCGATGTTGCGGTGCACAAAGGCCTCGCCCGGGTCCAGGCCGGTGATCTGCTCCGCGGGGATGCGTGAGTCACTGCATCCTATCCACAGGTATTCGGGCTCCTGGCCGGCGGAGAGCTTGAAGAAGAACTCGGGGTCCTTCTTCTTCTTCTCCTCGGCCCAGGCTCGGTTGTGCTCGAACACCCGGTCGTGGGTCTGCTGCAGGTACTTGGAGATATCCTTCTCAGCCATCTCGCGCCACTGGATCCGAGCCTTTGCGTCCTGTGGGTTTTTGGGGAGCGTGTTGTACGACCTGGCGAAGGCACGTCTGGAGGTTGACAGCAGCAGCGAGGAGCAACGCACTCGTGCAGCGGGGAGCATTGGGTTATGAAGACCACAGCTCAGGTTGAGGGGTGTGTGGCAGAGGCGGACGGAGCTGCTCGGGATGTCTTTGGGACGAGGAGAGCCGCGGCTTGAGGAAAGGAAGATTTTCTGTTGAGCCAAAGACGTCACAGCTTGGCGGGGGGTGGGAGCTTCGTGCACTGAATCGGCGCTAAGATCTTGTGAGATCTTATCGCTGAGCTCAAATCCCACTGTCTGCCCCGCCTCTTGCCGCCGCCAAACCGACAGTGCAGCTGCTGATAATACTGTACTGTACCAGCTCTGCGCGGTTTTCTCTCGGATTTCCCCAAAGAATAATCCTGTGGCTTGCTGCACACCACATTGTAAAACAACTTGCATGACAGCGCATACATAGAAAGGTAGAGGAGGGGGAAAGATTATCGTGGCTCCTTCAGGGCCTGCATCCTTCTTCTGCAGACGGCATTGTCACAAGGTAGGCGAGTAGTGGCTCGGGGAAGATTCGGGGTGTGAGAGTTGGGGTTACGAGAGGTGAAAAGCTTCAAACACCATCGAAAAGGACGACAAGAGGTGAAGAGCCTCCTCAACCCCTCATCTCATCCAAAGAGCTCCAAGGAGCTGCACCCAGAGCCAGGGTTATTGACGTCGGCGTTGGCGTTGACAGTGCGTAACAATGGTGGTGACAACAGGTCAGCTGGTGTGGCCTCAAGGACGATTCACCCGCAAGCATGAGGCAATCGAGATTCGAGAGGCTTGCTTCAAAGTTGACGCCACTGAGCCTCAGAGAATTCCATTGAAGATGGCCGGCATCTGCGATATTCCCGGTTGCTGGTTGCACACGCTCAACGGCCTTCGATCACGATGACCGATGAGGTTGTTTGCAATGGACATGAAACGCCCGCCAGGAATGATGCGGTTCCATTGTGTAACTGCAATAACGTCTTCTAAGAAGTCACTGTCTGGAACACTTGGAGGAGTTCGAGGCCTTAATTTGCGTGGCCTGGCGTAGGTGAGTCCAACGGCCCGCCAATGGCAACCCGCCTGAGGCGGCGCCTCAACCTTGAAGGAAGCCGAGCTCGGGGAACCACGAGGCCATGCATGATGGGTACTGGCTGGCTGGCTGGCTGGCCCCTCGCCAACAACAGCGCCTCATGCATTCCTCAGACTTGCAGCTTGAGGCTACTTTTCAATCCCTGACACCTCATACACTCATTCATTCTGAGGCCATAATTCTACACGACTGACGGTGCCAGTTCTGCTAGGTTCGTATGCATCAAGTCGTAAGGCATCCTGCTCGGCAACAAACAAATCCTGTTGCCATGATGCTACCGCCTTCCGTGTCTTCCTGAGGCTTGAGGCCATTCAGGGGCACCAATAACAGAGTCCCTCGCTACAATGTTGATGATGGGTATGTGGCCGTAGACAAAGGATAAATGGACAGGATATCTCCTCTCCTTTGTGGTGATCTTACCATAGACCAGAGAAATAAAGAACGGCAATCATCTCGTTGAGGCCTTGCTTATTGAACGCTACAAACATACAGTCTATCCACTCTGTCTTCTGTCCACACAGTTTTCGGCTATGGCCCCATCAAATAAATCTACGAAAGAGAAATGTAAAGGCTCATCGCCTCCGACCAGCTCTACCTCGTCTCGGAACAGCTCTGGGCGAGTGTCTTCCTCGTCGTCATCCTCTGCTAGAAATGAAGGAAATCGGTCAATACCTCAGCCATCCGCGCTTCTGTCCATCCAACAAGGCCAGACGCCCCGACCCGAGGTTGCTCAATCGGATGCTCGCCAATGGGTCCCTGTCCAGCGACCCTGGCAAGACCGTACAGGCGGCGGCCCATCAGACGCCGCATACATATCCCCGATGGACCACTGGGAGGGCCAGTCTCCACTGAACGAGCCATGGAATGATGTCTATGGCGTCTTCGACTCAACTCCCCAATTGAGCTCAGACGGACCAGTCAACGGTGGCAGCTGGTCAGACGCTGCGTGGAGTATGGAAGTGAATCCAGATCAGCAGCAATACGGTGGTCGATAGGCGGTAGGACGAGGCGTTTTGTTTCCGGCATCTGTAACAATTAGAAGTCCACGCAGGCACGTCGGACAACACGGTCATAGTAGAAATAGTCAATCAAATCCTTCATTCATCTTGGGGGGGCAACGCTGGCTGCGGCTAGCTCAGTTGCATTGCGCCTCTTTCACCATTATATCCTCCACCAGCCCCAGTCCTGGTCACTCGGCGACGAGGGCTTATTTCTTCTCCTCTCCAACGGGGACCAGCTTGCCCACCACCAGGTACTTGCTCTCGAACCTCTCCTCCCAGCCTTGTAGTGCGTCGATCTCGTCCCGGCCCAAGTCGCTCAGCGTATCGAGAGGGCCATCAAGGTCCTTGGTCAGCATCTCCTCGTCGAAGCTGCCACAAGCCAGGCCGCGACTGGCATCCCGTCCCGCAAAGTTGGCGTAGGGCCCGCCGGGGCCGTAGAAGTTGCGCCCGCTGGTAACGTCGAACACGCGGCCCCGGACGGCGAGGTAGACCGGGGCGCCGTTCTCGCCGTTGAACGGTAGCAGCGTGCGGGGGTTGAAGGTCTGGAAGACGGTAGCGGGGGCTTCCTTCGGCAGCGTCGGCGGCGGCGACGGCTTGAGGAACGAGTAGAGGGTGTATGCGAAAATGGCCAAGACGAGTATGTTCAGCGGCGTGACCAAGCCGGGGCTAGAACATGGTTAGGAAACATCTCCAAAACTTTTGCAAGACCATTGGGGAGATGCGCACTCGTTGGGGCTGGCGTGCTTCTGCGCCTCCTCGGCCATGCGCTGCTCAATGTAATCCATTGCGATTGTAGAGAGGAAGAGTCAAGGCTTCTTTCAGGTCTCCGAGATAGAATGGGCCTTTGATAAGAGTTGGGCGACTGCTATTGCCGACGTGGGATGGTTGAGATATTGTCAAGTGTGTAGAAGAAGGTCTAGTCTAGTAGCTTCCATCCTCCGGATTAGTGAAGTGGTCCCTATCATTGGTCTGCCCCGCCATCCGATTCGGCAGGCACTCCTCCATTCCTGTCGTTTCGCCAAAACGGCCACCAAAAACGGGACGGCGCGCGCACCTAGAATCCGTAATGCGTTGCCATTCTGGGTGAGCTGCTAATGATAGGACCAAGCTGCTGGAAGTTACAAGGTCTTTATATAGGTGCTATTGACTACATAGCACATCGAGTCGTAAGTTGAGCTGCATTCTGTACAAACAGTCTGTTGTTTCCGTGGTATTGTTACGGCGGCCACAGACAGGCAGCGAGTGGCTTTAGTTAATTGCAGGGTCTACTCGGAACACACTATGCTCTCAAATTAGAGTAAGCTTCACACTCTGAAGGACCTCACCGCCAGCTCTCCGTGACAATGGCCAACACCAGGCACCACCGACACTAAGTCGCTTGCATTCCAGGCTGCCGGTTTGTCAAGTCGCACCGCCATCGCATCTGGTCTGAAATGGCCGGGTTCACGGACGACGATGCCAGGCGCGCCGTCGAAGATGTGAGGAGGGGTGGTTCATTGCGTAAGGCATCCATGACCTGGGGAATCCCGCGCTCAACCCTTGCAAGACGTGTCCAGGGAGGCAGGCCGCATTCTGAGGCCAATATTGATCACCAGAGGGTTACTCCGGCCCAAGAACGTGCGATAGCAAACTGGGCATGGGTCGAGGCTCAAATCGGCCGGCCGCCTACACGAATACGCATGAGGGAGGTTGCTCAGCAGATCCTGATCGCTGCAGGGGATCACAAACCGCTGGGCAAGAACTGGATCAGCGGTTTCCTCTTCCGGAACCCATCAGTTAAGGATATAAGGTCCAAACCCAAAAAGACTGACGATGCGGCTGCCAACGACGCTTCCGGTGAATATCTCCATGAACCTGTCTTCGCCTTGATGGATGATGAGGGGAGTGAATCTCCAGCTACTTCACAACCAAGGCCGACTGGCTGAGACGCCACGATGCTTACACAAACACTTGTTGAAATAGATTGCAACACTTGCGAGGTGAATCACACCGTGTAGGGCATCATTTGATCATGTCATTTATTACACTACATTGAAGCATGCCGCTTCACCTATTCTCAAGGCTACAGTGCGGTGTCGTTTAGTGCTCCTTGTCAGCGATGGGAAGCTCATTTCCAGTGGTTCCCTTGTATTGCTTGCGGATGAAATCGCTGATCTGTTCATCTTTCGCCTGCTCGATGGCACTCTCGTTGGATTGATCTCCTTGGCCAAGGACATGTTCCTGGACCCAATCGACTCCTACAGAACAAGCTAGTGTCAGTTGCAATGGATCACGGTCAGCAAACGGGAGGCTGCTCACCCTTGTCGACAGTGTCTTCGTTCTTCTCTCCTTGCTGACCGCCGCCGGCGATGCCGTTGAGCTTATCCATGAAGCCGCCAGATGACTTCTGCTCCTGGTTGGGCTTTTGCTCGCCCTCCTTGTTATTATCGCCGGTGAAGTTCTTTACGAAATCCATGGTGGGCAGGCTGTTTGTGCAGTTCGGGTATTGGTTTCTGAGGTTGAACGGGCAAACGTGAGAAAACAGTCTTGGGAAAGACGCGAGACTAGATGTCAAGGGAAATGGAGAAGGCACACGGGTTTATAAAGGCACATGGCTTGCATCAAGGTGTCAGAAGATGCCTTCCATCGAGCTGGGTTCGCATAGTGAATCAGTGGAGGATGATGTCACGGCCTACAAGGACCAATTCAAGGCTGCCAAGGCGACGCTAATCAGCAAGCCAGCGGGAGCTTTTCAGCTGAGAACTCTCAGACAGCCCACTAAAACTTGATTTTGTGATGCATGTCCAGGGAGGTGCAATTCGATGAAAATGGAGCCAAGACAGCACAGCCTCAAAGCCTGTAACAACCATGGAGCACACAGTATCTCTTGCATAGTACAAATGGTACTGTTACACACGGCGTCTAAGTCCTTTCGGCCACGACCCGACCAGCATATAATAGCTCATCACGCATCAATGTCTTATATTGTTGGAAACAGCATGCTTAGCCTGTATATTGTGCTGTAATCTAAGCCGTCAAGGAGCGAAAAGAACTTCGAATAACAATGCTGACGAGCTCCTGGATCTGCTCCATCAGCAGTGGCAACGCCTCAAAATGATATCCAAATTGTTAGATACCTTTGTGACGCCACCATTGAATACAAGGTACAAACATGTGCTCCGCTCTTAACTATGCTCTAGGATCCTAAGCGTCTTTCTTGGTATCAACAATGACAACGGGAAGATATCTTTTCTTAACCTGTGATCGTCATCAGTAAGAATACATTCGATGTATGCAATCGAGTAAATACTGACAGCTCGTGCCCTAGATGTGTAGTTCGAGGTGTAGTTTGACGTTATGTTATCACGCTTAACCGTGACATTGAAGCCCACAGTCTCATTCAAGGCCCTTGCCGCGATGGTATTGTTTGCCCAGGTCAAACCTCGAGGAAGCTTGACTACCGGCATAGGAGAGGCTGACGTGGTGAAGGCGGCAGCCAGAGCCGCAACAACGATTGACACTCGCATTTCTATCTCGATGTCGAGCAAGCAATGTCCTAAGGAATGGAAGGCAAGGAACAGCTTCTTAAGGGTCAAGAGCAACCTGGTATCCAGCGGCACGGGAACGTCACTTAAATACAACACCAAGAGTAGACCTGGCCCGTATGCCTGGTCATCTCAAGATAGGTATTGAAAGGGGGGTTGATAACAACGGCGGGCGGCAAGATTTGAGTGTTCTCACAACCTGGATGGCGCGCCAATCTACACTTATTCACTACTTTATCCGCCACTCCCCTGAAGATTTGATCAAGGCATGCGTTGCTCGAGCTCTCCCGCACACAGGGGAAGTCAGTCGTACATCCTCATTCCGGGACAAGTGGCAGAACCCGAGTGTAGCACTGCTGTGACTCGGCGAAATTTGTGCCGCACGCCAGGCGCTTCACAACGTGCCGACTTATCAAATTTATCGCCACTCTAGTCAGTCTTGCTTGGCGGCAAACAAATGCCGGTACTTGCCATTGACGGCTGTTACTCCATTTCCTCTGCAATAATAAGTAGGGGTGGGACTTCATCCAACTTCCGTCATTATCAAGGCAATCCGTGGGGTTCGTTAGGGAGCATTGAGGCGAAAGTGGTGATATCCTCTTTGGACTGACTTTACCCATTTCGGTCGAGACTGGCCTATTCTTGAAATCCCACCTCACTCATCAAAGCTTCTGTTTGCAGGATCCCAGCAAGTTTTACTTTTGGATAGAGATCGACAGGACGACGGAGGTCGACCAGTCCGCTACCCAACGTCTGCCGTTTCCTCCCGCTTCGCTACTAGTGAATACCGGGCACACCATCTCAACAAACCCGGATGGTCCGCTCAGATGGCCGACATCAACCCTCTCTTATCGAGTATTATGGGGCCAATCTATGAGATCATCTGGTTGCATGGGCACGTTTATTGCCGAACCTTGTTCCTGCAGCAGCGTGGCTTCAATCAGCCTCCAGTTGTTCATCCTTATCCGGCAAAATAGATTGCCTTCTCGCCCGTTACCAAAACCCGGCTTGGCTGTCTCCTCTGCGGATAAGTGAGTGCCGGGATTCCGAGCACAAAGCTTTGATGAGCTATGTCCTGGGGAATATTCCTACCAACCACTAGCGGAATCTACAAGTTCAACCGGATGCCTCATGGAAAGCCTCAAACGGACCGCTCTCTATTGGCTGAAGGATTTATGATGACCAAGATCCAAGCGAACGGACGTATCAGGAACGGTGGATTGATATGATAAAGACATTTCCTTGGAATATTTCCTCCGGGTCCTGAAGCCCTTCTCTTGAATGATGGGGAGCTTGCCATCGCTATCCTGTGTGTTGGGCAACACTGTCCCATAGATTTATATCCTGTCGCGGATATCAAGAGCCGGGATCGTGATAATGCTTGAGATGTCCCACTTTAAATGGGGCATAGTGACGTGAAGAGATTCATTACCACAGTGCAATTTCATTTCATTTGTGCCTTCATAAGACCATATCACTATACGGAGCGCAGCTTTTGTGGAGATCACAGAGATATCTAAAACGGTTCGAATGTTGCTTCGTATATCTCCCATACTGGACCTTGAATTTGGTCAATCATTCTCTTTTATGAGAAGGTAAAAATGTCGATACACAGTTCCAAGTACCTACAGGTCTAAAGTTATTTTGCCTTTTCCACGGCTCACACAGCTAAGCAGGCTCTCACACTTCTGGTCCTTCGCCAATGCAGTACCCTTGTGTCTGACCGACCCATCTTTGTAATCAATCATGCAAATTCCACAGTTACCCACAAGGCAGCTAGAAGGAACATCGAAACCCGACTCGTTAAGGATTCGCAATAAGCTCTTATCTGATGGAATTTGAAGAGTCTCGTGCGAACTCAGTATCTCAACCTCAAAAGGGTCTCCTGTCACATCCTCTTCACCGAAGCTTTCGAGATGACGTAGATGCTCTGGGTAGTTGAGCGATTCAAGTCTCTCCTCGCAGGCATTAAGAAGCCCGGATGGTCCACAACACATGATCATTGTGTTAAGTCTAGTGGCTTCTTGCTTTCCTATAAGTTTGCCTACGTCAAGTCGTTGTCCTTGATCCTTAGCATAGAACACTGTTTTCTCTAACGGCAAGTCTTCTGTATAAGCAGCCTCTCTTATACTGGGACAAGCATAGTGGATCTCAAATGATTCGTTGCTCGATTTCAGAATATCGATCTCCTTGATGAAAGCAGTAATACCAATGCCACCGACAATGATGATCCAGTGATTGATTTGATGGTCATCCTCGGCAGCCTCTCCTGAGTCGACTCCATTCGCTATAGAGATAACATCGCCCGTTTGCACATTATCATGCAGGAAGCGAGACCCTCCTCGTGACTTGCGATCTAGGGCGATGCCAAGCTCAAATTTGTTCTTATTGCCGCGAACGACTGAGTACGCCCGCGTGTAGCAGCTGTCTGGGCCAAAACGTAGCCGGACATATGGGAAGGAACCAAACTCTGGATTCACGAACTTGATATCAGGATCATCAACAGTGAAAACAAATCGCTTCACTCGAGCTGTCACGCGTTCCTTTTGTATGAGTCGGTATGGTCTCCAGTCAAGGGCAACGCGGTCGAGTCTCAACTGTGCATCTTCCGCCTTCCCAAGAAGACGATCTTCGACTATCTCGCGTATTTGCACGCCTAGGCCAACGACTTTGCTCAGTTCCAGTAGCAGCTTCTGGTTCGGCTCTTGAAACATAACGTCCAATGCCCTGCTGATAGACCACTTCGGATACGGCCTATTTACAAGCACCATCTTATCTCCTGCACGGATGTTTCCGGTCTGGACGACACTGAGATACCAACCCGTTCGTCCTGTCTGTTGCGTGCGGATGGCAGCCCGGTTCCACTCGAATCGATGGTTGAGCTTGTAACATGGTAATCTTGGTTCTGAGACCATGACCAGAACTTTCTTGCCGATACGGTATGTATCGCCAATGCACACATTATCCTCATTCAGGCCAGCGCTTACTAGGTTTTCACCATACGCTCCTTGAACGAAGAGGTGCGCCTTGTCTGGCTTTTCTTTCTGCCAGCCCTTGTAGTGAGCTGCGCAGTACTGATGAAGTGCTTTGTCAACTCCACCGTGGTGAATGTATTGTTGTTCGTCGCCGACGATACCGACATTCGTTAGGAAGAGCTGGCCATCCCTTGGCGTTTTGGCGATTGCTGACCGAAGCCCAGCAGTGCCCAGAGCTCTTATTTTGCCAATTCGGACTCGCAAGATGGTGTCAATAGGCGGCAGAGGCGCTGGGTGATCGGCAAAGCCTTTCTCATCAACTTGGGCGACCGGCATATCGAGCTTCGTTTGCGACAACTAAAGCAACTCGAGTTGATTGAAAGCGAACAAAAGATCAGAGGCCAACAGTCGGTCTTCTAGAAGAAATGTTGATACAACTTAGCTTCTTGAATAATTGCGTGAAGTTGCGCTTATCAATCTCGTACGCAGACACTATCGGAAAGATGAATGAATGACCAGAGAAGATCGGCTACTTGCCAACTAGTATCCCACTCCTCGGATATCTGTAAGGACGACCCCACGCAGCCAAGTCGGACGGTGTTCATCGGCTCAATATCTGACACAGCTTTGTGATCCCCCACTTTTGGGTAGACTACCTCTTTACAACGATAGTTCCTAATCATGAACCATGAGTTTACAACAGATCAGGTTAAATTGATATGACTAGCGACCCCAATGCCCTTTACCAGGCTCGTATATTGCAGTATTTCTTATGTTGCGACTTTAATAGTAGTATTGAGAAATTCTGTCAGCGAAGCCATTTCCAGGAGCCTCTACGGGTTTTGAAATTTTATCTTGGCTTGTAATATCCTCTTCAAGTCTAGCACTCAATGCGGGATCGAAAGAAGTTTGAATCAATTCTGTCAGACTACTCTGTCACGGAAACCGTATGAGAA